AATTACTAGTTATCGTATTAATTGAATTGTATTTTAAATTTATAATGGAATCATTTGTTTTATTACAACATTTATTTATTACTATATATTTGTATATAAAAATAATGCTAAATATTATTTTTGCATTTAAATATCTAAAAAAATATTCAGTAAAAAAATGTTTTATTAATATTTTAAAAAACTAAATATACATTAATAATTAAAGATGACTTTATAAAACAAATAATTTATTGTTGAATATAGAATACAATTCAATTCAATTAATAAAATAACAACACATAAATCAAGGGTTTTATTTTAATTTAAGAGTTATTAAAATATTACAATTTTGACATTTATGTAATTTTTTATACAAATATACAAAAAATTTAAGAAATATTTATCTTGATAGGTATATAATGATTTTATGTTCAGTATATTATAAATTTTATAGAATATCAGTCTATCTAATAAATAGTGTATTGATTAATAATTTTTTATACTCTATTAAATAGTTGTTATAATAGTTGCTAAAAAACGTCAAATAGTTGTTAAAATAGTTATTTAAACTGTATTAAATAGTTGTATATAATTGCCAAAAAAGCCAAATAGTTATTGAAATAGTTATTTATTTTCTTATAAATATTTCAACTGATATATAATTTACTTGTTTTCAGCATATTTACAAAAATGATTTATATAAATAAACTAAATATTTCTATTGTTAAAAAAGTAATATGAGTTGATAACAGTTTACACATTTTATATAATTTATATAACTATTACTTTTTGTTTTTACATATATTTTAGCAATATTTTACAATTTAATGCTTATATTTTTCAAAATAAATGAAATAGTTATTTATAAGTTTTTATAGTTGCTAACCTAACAAATAGTTATTTATAGTTATAATAAAATTTCGGAAATAGCGTCCACTGGTCAACTTCGGTGGACATACTAAGTCCCAGTTATAAGCGTTAAACCGACAAAATAATTTTTTTAGTTGGAAATCAAGACACTACTAATAAATTAAGAGATACAAAACCTCCCTTATTCCACATACCGGTGCTATGATTGATATATCAAATGTTATTATGGTTTCATATCCGTTGTATAAAACTATAGAACCGATAAAATATTTTGTCCTAACTCTAGATGKTATAGACTATAACTTTAAAAGTATAGTAAAAAACTATCAAACATTTGAAAAAAAGATTTTATATTTCATACAGTATGATGTAATTATCATAAAAGTAAATAAATAGCATATATTTTAATATCAGTAATACTGATTCATTGAGCATTAATATTGTAAAAACATTTCAAATTTAATCATCAATAATCTGATAATTTTGACTTGTAATATTAACTGTATGGTTATAATTGTAATAATTTATATTATTGTATAAATAGTTTATATCAAAGTTTAATATATTGTGATTATAATCACTGTTATGATATTACATACAATTCAATATATATGAAAATGTGTAAACTTAATAATGTGACTACTAATCTTATAAGTGTCCCAAAACATAATGTTATATTTATAATAAATATAATCCTATTATTTAAATAAATCATTTACATTATAGACCATTATATTCATTATACAGTGTTTTAGCAACATTTTATTTAATGTAATTAGAATGTAGAGATTATAGAAATTTCTAATAAATTTTCCTGAATAAATTTCTAGTAAATTTCTCATGAATATAGAAATTTTACTTTATTATTATACTATGGGATCCCCATATCTATAGCTATTATAATACTAGGTATTTTTAAAACTACAATAGTATACAAATGGGATACCTATAAAAAATAATTTAATTATAATTAGTTTTTATATAATGTTATTCATCATTGAATTAAGTTTAATGTAATTAAATAGATTTATTAATATTTTGAAAATAATTAAAACACTAATAATAATATTTAGTTATTATTTGTAATTATTATTTATTGTTACAAGTTAACAAATATTGAAATAGCAAAATTAACATGGGCATTTCATAGACAAAAATTTCTTTTAGAAACTTTATAGCAATTTCTTTATTATTTTAGAAATTTCTCTTTTTGTCAACACTATACAGTATGTAATTTTATTAACATATCATAAGGTATACTGTATATGAATCAAACCGTATAATATATGTTTATTATTAATATACTGTATTACACTGATACATTTTAGCTATAAAACTAATAAAAGCATAACATTATCAGTTATTAAATCAATGCAATAATAAATGGTAAATAATAATAAAGATTTTCTTATTTTTTAAATTAACACTTTTCTTATTGAATATTAAAAAAATCAATTACATTAAAATTACAATTACAATACAAATATTGTTAAATTAACTAATATTTTGAAAACATTATTTTGTTTTGAGAATATTTACTTATAATATGTTATGTCATCTAAAAAAATTCGATCATTTGCTGCAAACATTAATCATAGATGTTATCATTAAATACTAACAAATCCCAAAAGTAATTAATTTTTAGTAAATATTAATATGAAATAAAATTTTGATGATTTACTTAAAGCATATACAGTACAACATATAGAATAATCATTAAAAACTATGTGTTAATTAACTTATTTATTTAAATAATGATTATATAATATATATTTATAAAGATAATTCTAAGAATTAATTTATTAGTAAATTTATAAAATATAAGTAATATTATTACAGTAATTAAGTATATTATTGATATGCAATTCAAATATATATATTTTTAACATAAATATTATTTAACGTAAGAGTAGTACTCGGATTTGCAAATGTACTTATGATATATTTTTCATTTAAATACAACAAAAATAAAATATTAATTAAGTATTGTTCTCTTATAGAAAATATTTTTAATTAATTTGATAAAAAAAACTTTAATTAGTTTCAATAACTTAATCTGACACTAAATTAACAGTGAATTTAATACATTTTATTGTAATTAATAAATACTTGACTCCGTATAACATAATTATGTGTCTAAAAACCCAATTGAGGGTCATTTAGTGGGTCTCTCTTTAGCATTGATTAAACAATAATATTGACATTAATGACAAATAATAATAATAATAATGTTATTTACAACCCGCGCAATGTCTTGAACCGTAAATAAATACTTTTAAGCTAATAGCTTAATGTAACAATACCTTAGGTTTATTATTAGGTGTCATCAATTTAATACGACCATTAAATACGGTCAACAATTGTACTGTTTATGAAAAAGTCGTGGAAAATGTAAAAGAAATGAAATTAAAATATGTTATAATATAGATATATAGAGTTACAGTATTAAAATATTTATTGATAATTTAATGATTATTTTTATAACTAATAATTAATTAATACCGTAATACACAATAACAATGATAAACTTGATATGAAGTAGTATTAGGTTTAAACCCCGGATCCTAATCATATCGTGACTGAAAAATTAGTCAATTAAACAAATCTTTGTCTTAATTCAATTCATTTAAATCAATTTGAGTTAAAATGCATTTTTGTATATCAACTTGATTTTTAGCATAAAATAGTATTTTTAATTATATACAAATAGATAATTTATAAATTATTTCATAAATTTTATAAAAATGGAAACTCTATTAAAAAACCATGACTTTGACTAAGAAATTGATTGTATTTAATTGATTACACCTTATTTTGATATTTAATTAATTTTATTATACACTTGACTATTGATATTTTAATATATTGTATCATATTATTTAAAATATTATTCTGTAGATTAAAGTATGTTAAGTATAATTTATAATTAGTTAAACTTATTGCACTTAATAGATAATTTATATAATTTTATTATTGTTGAAATAGATATAATATTAAATCTATTATTATTCATAAGTTGTTGAAATATAATAATTTAAGATAAATAGTTTTATTTAATATTATAATAATTAAATTTTATATTAGCTTATGTTTGCATAAAATTTTGAATTTGTAAAAATATAGTAATTAATTTTTTCTTAATTAATATTAATGCTTAGAAAAACAATAAAATAAAAACATTAAACTAACATAAGTTTTTAATAATGAAAAATACTACCAAAAATGCTAACAAAAATGCTAATATATGATTGCAATAAATTAAATTATTTAATGCTATTTAAGATTATTTTATAATTATTTTAAATTAATTATTGGTATCTAATATCTTACTACTATAGAGTCATTTATATTATAGTAGTCACAAAATATTCAATATTTGGTTTTATTTAATTACTTGCATTGTTTTTTTTACTTAATAGACATTATTGTTTTACAATGATTTTTACTATAATAAAGGCATACATATTAATATTTATAGACTACCGGTAATTATATTTATAATAGAAACTCTATAAAAAAAAATTTACTTAATACTTATGTTGTGTGAAATATATTTAATATTAGATATACAGTAAATGCGATATTTTTGTGAACAAATATAAATATAAAGTGCAACTAAAATCAAAATATTTGTATGTATGACGAGTGCAATGAAAAAGTTATCCAAAAAACTATATCACTCTATATAATACATTTGGGGATAAATGTTGAGTCCATTTATTTGTTGTTTATATGAATCCAAATGAAAACAAAATTAACTGCACTTTTATTATGCATTAAAAAAATTTTTCTATAATACTTACACCAAATGTGTACCAAATATTTAATGATTCGTATTTATAGTATATTTTTTATAGATTTTAATTTTTAAAAACGTTTATTACATTTTTAAATAATCATTTTTTATTTAAACATAATTAATCATTTTTAAAAAAATATATTAGCAAATGTGTTAATAAAAAACAGTAAAATTATTGAATTATTTTTTATGTTAGTTATTATTTTATTATTATTTTGAAAAAAATCAATTATATGTTAATCCATTTTAAACTTATTTGTTTGACAAAACAAATATAAACTAATAATGTAAAGTATTTTATGAAAATACTTTATAATATTAATTTAGTTTTAGTATTTGTAATATTAAATATATGAATAATATATTTGAATTAAACAAAAATGTAATATTTATTTGGATGAAGGAATCATATTATTTAAATGATTATAATAGCCGTTAGGCGGTCCAGGATTACTACCCAACACTGGTTTATATTGAATTTGTTGGTTTAATTGTGAGTTTAATTGTGGGCTAAAGTTTGTTGTTTGTGTTGTTAGACTATCGGCTGTTGGCAAATATGATGTGGCTGTTTGTGCGATCTGACAAAAAAATCCTAACACTTTAGACACGGGTGGTAAACGTTGGTATAGATTTTTAATCATATTTTTGATTTTTTCATATATGGGTGAAAATTTATACGGTCCTAATGTAAAGTGATACGGACCCCACTCTTTGTTAGCCAATTGACTTATATAGTGATCAGCATTCAAATTGATTCCACCGATTGATAGTTGTTGTTGAGGTTGAGGTTGAGGTTGAGGTTGAGGTTGAGGTTGAGGTTGAGGTTGAGGTTGAGGTTGAGGTTGAGGTTGAGGTTGAGGTTGAGGTTGAGGTTGAGGTTGAGGTTGAGGTTGAGGTTGAAGTTGAGGTTGAGGTTGTTGTTGACTATTACCAAACATTATATCTGAATTTGAAGATATATCTGAATTACTGCTTTTAATGGCACCGATAGGCGAGTAAATGCTATTTTCTTGTTGTAGTTGTGATTCTTTTGGTAACTGAAATATCGTAGGCTTTTGGCCTTCAGATGTCGGGTGCTGTTGAACAGGCTTTCCATTAACCAAAACATCTTCTAATAATTCATCATTAGGTGATGTCACTGAATAACAACACATTTTATAAAAATAATTATTATTATTATTATTGTATTTTTAATTTTATTTTATGATTTATATTATGTATTTATAACTATAGTATTACCCGAAATAATGTTATTATTATTATTACTGAGAGGTAATGCCATGATATGATCCATCAAATTGATCCATAAAATGATGGCTATTATGTAACATGTTTTTTCTATAGGAGCGGACATAATTGCAATATTGAATATCAAATGATAAATTTTAATAAATAGTTTAATTTTATATATTTAACTTATATAATAATATTTTTAATTAATTGAATTAATAGTATACATGTAAATGTAGGGGAAAAATAAATCTGTGCTAAATAACTATCTGTTGGTTTTATATGAGTTTTAATTAATAATATAAATTGATTCAAATTTCATTAGTTAAGTAATGATTTAATATAACAAATATTTATTAATTTTATTATTATTATTATAAAATTTAAACAACAATAATTTAATTTTAAATTAAAATGTGTGATAAATTATTAAGATAAAACTATTAATTTTTTATTTTTTTGTTGGTATAATTTTCTAAATTAAATTTTTAAAATTAATTATTAATATTGCCAATTCAACAATTATTTATTTAAGATATTTTGTATTATTTTCAAATATAATTTTAAATAATTAAATCAAATAAAAAAATTTATAAAGATTATAAAAAACTTATAAATCTGAAAATCAAATGCAATAAATAAAACAAAAATCTATATAAATTATATAATATAAAGTTTGTAACTTAATATTAATAGATTTGATGAAAACATGAAAATTTTTATTAACTACAAAAGTTTTTCTTAATTAAAAATGTATTCATATATAAATATAAAAAAATAGTATTTAAATGCATTAATACTTAAACATAAAAAGATATGTTATAAAACATATGAATACTATTATAAAGTATTATATATTAGTACTCGTGAAACGGCTGAGGGATATATTAGTTGAAAATATATTTTATATTACAGTACAGTACAACACATCACGTGTATAACACATTAGACTGTCTGTCGGATTGACATTTGGATATTATAAGCAATTTTGTATTAAATGATTTTACGAAATACAGCATATTATTGATGAAAATCATTTCATCTATTGTTTGTATTTATAACATAACTTATAATCAAACATATACTCTATGAGTCCTATACTATGGAATATAAGTATTGAAACCATTGACCCGTTTTCAAGCTTATAGATATTTGTCAAAAAAGTTTGCTACTAATATATGATATATATATATATAATTTTTTTTATTTCAAATACTTGTCATGAAATACATTAAAAGTTCGTAAAATAAATAATATATAAAATAAAATACAATTAAAATAACAATCAATTAAAGTTATAAACTTATTATAATTATTTTCTCCTCTAATATCTTTTGGTATATAATTAAATAGTTTAATATTAAAATTTTAAAAAAATTATCAAACATTTTAAGCCATGTCTAGATGTTTGGTATATTTCAATGTATTTATATTATAGATATTAAAATCGCTTATTTATTGATAACATCTATTGATAATTTAAATGTTATTAACGAAATACAACAGTTATTTTTAAAACTAATTGAAACCTAAACTATACAGCAATTAAAAAAATTATAAATTACTATTTAATGTATTTATTATACTGTACTTATAATTTTGACACATTATTTTATATTTAATACTAATATAAACTGTACAGTAGTTTTTAAAATATTTAAGATCATAATTTTAGTTGACATCTATTGAATAAAATACAAAAATAAATATGGATTTTATACTGAACTTGTAGTGTATTTGTTGCTAATTTAGTTTTAGTTTAATTTAATTTAGTTGTATTTGTAATCATAATTTTAAAAATATGATTGACAATTAAAATATTATTAAAATATTATTAATATATATTAAAATATATGTTATATTAATATATAATACTGTATATAAATATAATAGAAATACCAATATTAACAGTTATCGTAATAAATATATTACTTTATTTTTAAAATTATTAAAATAAATAATTTTTAAAAATACAGTTAAACTAATTTGTTTTTATTGTTTATATTATTCAAAAATCTCTCATTTTTATATCAATAATATAAAAACTGAATTGTTTTTTATTTATTATTTATTAAATATTTAAACTGACATTTTGACATTATTTTGTTTTTAAAAAAAAATTATTTTTGTTCATATCTTTCTCCTGTTTATCATTTATTTCTTAATATTTATGCTTATGATTAGTGATCGACGACTAATTAGTCTTTACTTTATTATTGGTTAACAAATAGATGATTATTTAAATTATTCATTTTATTAGTTTATTTTACAATTAAATTAATTTTAATGTTGTTTAGATTGATGATTCATTGATCAGATTAATAATAATTATTAAAATATTTTTTGTTGTAAATTTCTATAATTAAATTTTACTTTTATATATTATATACTTGTTATCTTTAATATAACATTACTAAGATTTAAAAACAATTATGAATTTAACTAATTCATAATTTATTCATTTATTTATTTTTATAACAGCAAACATTTAGCAAACATTTAATATATTAAATATTTTTATAGTTTATGATAAATATATGTTTTTTATGGATTATTCCTCTCGTAAATTGAATTTTCTTAATATACCGTATTTTAACTGTTTATCATTTTATCAAATTCAAGATTCATTACTCAGATTCAGTACTTTGTTGTGTTGAAGATTCTGTACTATCAGATGACTGTTCAGTACTTTCTTCAGTTGAAGATTCACTACTCTCTGATGTTGAGTATTCATCACTTTGTGTGGTCGACTGTCCATCACTTTTCGGTGTTGTTGTTGTTTTTGTTGTTGTTGTTGTATCTGTTATTTTGCAAAGAATGTGTTAAATTAAAAACTAGTATACAGTATAAATAAATGTTGAGATATGGGATATCTATGGTATGTATTTTAATAACTAATTTATAAAAAGTAATTAATGTAAACGACTGTACCTTTAGATTTGGTATTATATGTTAAATTGAGTTTTGTGGCAAACTTTTTAACAATACTAATCGTACTACTGATCAATTGTTTAATATTAATTTTGTTAAAATGTTTTTCAATAAATTTTTTTGTTTGTTCAAAAAATTTTTGCAAATCTTTAGGTAATTTATTCATGTCTGTAATTTGAGCATGCTCTTTTACTATAGCTTTGAAACTTTTGGTAAATTCATCAATCAACTTTTTCAATCTTTCCAGTCCTTATTATAAAAAACAATAACATTGAATACTGTATGTTAAATATGATGTTTATTATTAATGGGAACAAATCTATATATTTAATCTATAATACAGATTTAAGCCTATTAATGTTATATAATTTATATAAAATTATAAATATTTAAATTATAATTATGTTTATAATATTTATTAGTAATAATCAATTAGTAATCAATACCGTCACCAATAGTTTTAGACGACTCCGTTTGATTAATAGATTTATCTTGTGTTTTATTTTTATCAATTTTAACAGCAGTTGTGGTCATCATTGTTGTTGTTTTTGTAGTTATGGTTGTAGTTATTGTAGTTTTTTTAGCATTAATAATGTACCAAGTACAAAATAATAATACAATTATTAACAAACTACTAATATTTAATTTAGATGTCATTTTAACCGTTTAATATTTGCAGTTTAATGCCAATTAAATTAATATAATTATATTAAATATATTATAGTATATATATACAATACAATAGATTTTAATGATTTTATAGAATGCTCTATATTTTAATATTTTAATTCCACAATTAATTTTTTAGAAATTTAAAACTTAAAACATATTTTTAGAATTTTTGCTTATGCTTCCATATTTACTAATTAAAAAGTTATTAATTTATATTTTATGCATATATTATTTTTAGTAAATAGTTTTCATTAAAATTTCACACATATGTTAAATTAATATACTTATAGAAAAATTATTATTTCTAAATTATATAACTAAACTAAACTAAAACACCAATAATTTTTTTCAATTGTTATTCTTATTAATAATTTAGTAAAATTGTAAGATTCTAAAAATGTTTATTTGTTTGAATAATTAATAATACAATATTAAAATGTTATTAAATGATAATAAATAAAAATTGTTTAAAAGGGTCCGAAACCGAAAAACGTGTCTTTATTTGTCTTTTTCTTATTTTTTTGTTTTAATTTTCTTTTGCGAAGATCAGTCTTCTTGTCATTTTCATTGTCAGTCTTTTTGATATCTTCTGTAGAATCGTCTGTATTGTCGACTGAGTCTTGTGTTGTAATTTGTTTATCAATAGGACTATTGGTATSAATTGAAGTGATTATTGTTGTTGTTGTCGATGTCTGTGATTCTGTTTCTAATATTTTCTTATGTTTTTTGACTTTACGTTTACCTTCGCTGTCGCCAAACAGTGACAACGGCTCGAAATTAGTGAAATCAAACAATTTATTACTCAAAATATTTTTGTTTTTACTTTTTCCACTTTTATTACTATCACTATCACTGGTCATCTTATTAAAAGTTTGTTCACCAATGTTTTGCATCCTATTTATAAAATGGTTATTCATATAGTTATAACAATATATAATTTTTTATTTATCATGTATTGATATACTGAATATGACATATGATATATTGTATATTTATAATAATAATATATATATTTATTATTTCTAAAAAAGTATATAAAATTACTAACAGTTAAAAATTAAAATAATTACAAACTTTTTTGGTATATCTGATAATTCTTTTGGTTTATTAATATGTTTGCCATAATTTTCTTGCAATTGTTTCTGAAAATTATTAGAAATTTCCAGCATTTTCTCCAATTGTTTTAATCTTTGTTGTTTAGCCGCCTCTGAAAATAACATTAAAATAATATAAAAAACAATATTGACTAAATGTATTAAATATAAAAACTGACCATGAGCACTGTTATCTAATATTTTGCTGGTTATATTGTTGGCAACATTGGTCCCATTAGCCGACATAGTAATTATTATAGTTGTATTGGTAACGGTAGCATTTATATTGCTATTATTGTTGATGTCAATTCCAACTAATTTACTATTATTATTATTTGTCAATTTGTAATCATTAAGTGGTATTTTTTCATTTACTAAATGAACTGTAACACTAGTATTGCTAATTGTATTATTATTAATACTATCGGTAGATAATATATTAGTTGTATTATTTGGTGTTTGATTTAAAATTATATGTTTAACATTACTACTATTGCTATTATTTGCATGAATTGAATCACCTACTATACTACCTTGTTGTGTATTATTATTATTATTATTGTTGGTTAATATTGCATTTGTCAAATTAGCATGAACAGTTTTATTAAGCAAATCAGACACAATTGTAGTTTGAATTGTTGTTAAAGTGGGTATTGGTGTCGTTGCTATGCTATCTAAAAAAATTTAATTTACTATTATTTTTTTGTGTGAAATTTTAATGAATTATATTTTTATATAATTAACTTACTATTGTTTATCATAACATTGCTATTGTTTTCTGATACTATATCTTCAATTAAGACAACGATCAGAACATTATACAGAAATACAATTCCCTGTTTTGACGACATTTTATATTTGATAATCAAATTAATAAWACTTAATAAATATTTTTATTAATTATCTTTAATGTTAATATTAATTACGTATAAAATAAAATACAGCAGTTGTTACAATACTATATTCAACAATAGTTATTAAATAAAATTATTTGATTTTAATAACAATAATTTTACAWAAGTAGACAAAARTAGTTTTAAAAAATTATTTGAATAAATATAAAGTATTTAACTTTTACAAATTACAGCAGCAAATATAATTTATTATAGTATCATATATAGTATAGTTTAGGCACTTAAAGATAGACACATTTAATAATTTTTAACAGATTAACAATATTTAAAAAATTACTTTATTAAATAATAACATTTTTATCACAAAAATATGTCAAATAATTAAATTAAAAAAGCAAAATGATTATAATAACTATAATATAAAGAAAATATATGTTTCAATATGTATTATTAAACTAAATAAATAAATAAAAGAATTATTTTACAATAGTTTATACATTTAAAAAATTAAAACTTTTCAATCATTTTTATTCTTATTTTTCTTATTTTTTTTGGTTTTTGTGGTCTCAATCTTGCTATCAATGATTGAGTTTGTTTTACTCCAGAGAGACCACTGATCTTTATAGACCATAACTAATGATGTTTTCAAATATCCTACGCCTCCCGGAAAGTGCATTCCTTCCCATTTGTCTTTAACAGGTTTGGCTCCTTCAACGACATCACCAAATGGTTTACCATCTTTCATACGATTATTAAATTTCCAATATTTCGAGCCTCTGAACACGTAAATGAATGGAGAAAAGTTGGTACCGGTGCTGATCTTTACGTTAGAGCACAGGGACTTCAAGGCTGATGATTTGATGCCCTTAGCTTTACAGCCGAAAATTTCACTGTTATCGACCCATTTGTTGCACTTTTGATTAATAAAAAAACAAACCAATAAATGTRTTATAAGTAAAGGTATTGATGACTAACAACTRAAAATACATACCTTTTTAATATTTTTATCGGTGCGCATACAGTGTTTGCCGACKCCATCAAAGAAATACCAATTTTTCTTTCTGTCTTTAATAACGGCCACCAAATTAGGCGGGAATTTGTTGTCATCTTCGGTCACTTTAACGCATTCGCCAATTAGCGAACACTTGTCTTCAGTGATTTTATAATAGCAAACCTGCTTTTTCCTGACGACAGCATATTTGCCTTTTTTCTCGTCCATAGGTATGAGTGCACCCCTATCGCTGTCCTCACCATCGGGTAGATCGGGTGGTTCGCCGATGATACTCATAGTTACCGTACCGATCGGTGCATTACTGACTTCATTATCATTTTGTCGCATACCTTTGTGTGCTAACTTGTCCTTCAGCGAAGATGTCCACTGAGACCAAGTGTTGGCGTAKACGACAACAAAAGCGTTTTTATTAAAACTGACGCCTCCAGGCATAAGAATGCCGTCGAACTCATTCTTTGCCGGTTCATTACCTTTGATAAGATCTCCTAACGGTTTGCCAGGTTTTGGGTGATGTCCATCAAACTTCCAGAATTTACTGCCGCGGAAAACATAAACAAACGGAGGATAATTACCGCCACCAGTGATGGTTACGTTTTCACAAAGAGTTTCTAATTCCGATCTGATATCTTCGGCATTACAGCCAAACACCAGACGATTGTCAATCCATTTGTCACACTATTATTAGTGATAATTCAAAATTAATAGTAAATATCTGAAGATATAACTGTTGAATACATACCTTAGTTCTCAAACCATCCATTCTTTTGCAATGCTTTCCTTCGGGATCAAAGTAATACCAGAACTTATCTCTTCCCTTAATGGCGGCCACAATATGTGGCGGAAATTKTTCTTCATCTTTATCTACAGGACGACAATCACCGATCCATACGGTCTGGTTGTAAGTGATTTGTAGTGGACAGACCTTATCTCCTTTGATTTTAGCAAATCTCGATAATTTAATGTCTAAATTAATGAGAGCCCCGGCATTCATTGGATCACCGGTTTCGTCATCATTTTCTTTATCAAGAATTGGCTGATCATAAACATCGCCCAATTCATCGGTCGATGAACTTGTTTTACTATTGTCTCCTTTATTATCATTTCCTTCTTTATTATCATTTCTTTCTTTATTATCATTTCCTTCTTTATTATCATTTCTTTCTTTATTATCATTTCCTTCTTTATTAYCATTTCTTTCTTTATTATCATTTCCTTCTTTATTATCATTTCTTTCTTTATTATCATTTCCTTCTTTATTACCATTTCCTCCTTTTTCATTATTATCCTTATTATCACTGTTACCATCAGTTGATTTACTATCATCAGCCTTATCAGGATCTAAAGATTTTCCAGAATCACTATCTTTCTTACTATCTTCAGGTGATTTTCCGTCTGGATTTCCTTCATTTCCATTAGTACTACTTTCATCAATTGTGGCTGGAGTTGTAGATTTGCCACTATTACTGAACTCTCCATCAACTCCTGGTTTATTCATATTGTCTTCATTGTCAACGGGTCTGTTAGAACCATCTGTTGCTTTCGGTCGATGTTTTCTTAGCCTCCAAAGTGACCATTTATTTCGGTAGACTATAATAAACGATGTCTTGTGATAACTTGCACCGCCGGGTAAGTGAATGCCTGGATATTTGTCGGCTGCGAGTGCCGGTCCACTCATAAGTTTACCCAAAGGTTTTCCGGGCTGTTCCTTATTGTCAAACATCCAGTATCGTTGTCCGCGGAAAAGATAGATAAATGGCCAGTAATTGCCGGCAGAATTAATGATGGGATTATTGCACAGATCTTCCATTTCAGTGCTTTTGTCAGTATTGCACCCAAAGATGTCTTTATTATCCGACCACTCAGTACACTATAAAACATGTAAAACATTGTTTAACATAATCCATAAAAATGCAAACCGGTATTCATTGAAAAACTAATACATACTTTGATAGTATCGTTGTTTTTACGATTGCAATGTTTGCCTTCCCTATCAAAAAAGTACCAAACATTGCCTCTAGTCTTAACCGCACCGATAATATTTGGTGGAAAGTTATTGGCGTCTTCAGTGACGGGTTTGCATTTAGGCTTTTCGTCCCAAAAGGCTTTGTCACCTCTGGACGACACCACAACATAGCATACATCGGTGTCAATGATTTTGGCGTATCGTTTTCTACCCGAATCCATCGGTATAAGAGCACCCATATCTTTAGGATCACCATCTTGGTCTTTAGGCTCATCCAGAATAGGTTGTTCGCTGATATCAGTTGGTTCATCAGTATCRGTACCCGGATGACCTTGTTTTGACTTTTTGCTAACATCAACGCCAAAATCGTCATTCGGAGTCGTCGTTTCCAATTCATCTTTTCCCGGTTGTGAACCTCCTTTACCTCCTTTTGATGGTTTGTTTTTTCCCGGTTCAAAGCCATCAGTACTATCATCTGGATTTTTTTCTCCTTTTGATGGCTTTCCTTTACCGGGTTCAAACCCATCGCTTCCATCAGGTTTTCCTGTTGTTGACTTAGCTCCCGGTTCAAAGCCATCACTACTATCATCTGGATCTTTCTTTCCACCTTTTGATGGCTTTCCTTCACCCGGTTTAAAACCATCACTTCCATCGGGGTTTTCCGTTGTTGACTTAGCTCCCGGTTCAAARCCATCGGTATTATCATCTGAATCTTTTTTTCCTCCTTTTGATGGCTTTCCTTTACCGGGTTCAAAACTATCACTTCCATCGGGGTTTTCCGTTGTTGACTTAGCTCCCGGTTCAAAGCCATCAGTATTATCGTCTGGATCTTTCTTTCCTCCTTTAGATGGTTTGAAACCATTACTGTCGGATTCTGTTGTAGTGTCATCTTCATTGTCTGCTTTTCTTCCCTTACCCTCTGGTACCCATTGAGCCCATCGGTTCTGATACACAATAACCAGTGCGTCCTTGTTATGACTGATACCTCCGGGCAAATGCATGCCATCGTATTTTGGGTGTATGGGAACCTTACCCTCGATAAGGTTGCCAATGGGTTTACCTTTTTCTGGTTTATTATCAAACTGCCAATACTTGCCATTCTTGAAAACTAAGACATTGGGTTCAACATTACCACCAGAATTGATAGTAGTGTTGTGACACAACTGTTCCAACTCTCGTTTCAATGGCTTAGAGTTACAACCAAAGAGTTCTTTATTATCTCCCCATTTAGTGCACTATTATAAACATCGGTTGAATAAAAAAAGTTTAAAATATAATTACCGATATATCATAATATTTACTAAATAATAACAGATATAATTATTAACTATACCTCAATCTTAGACGTGTCCTCTCGTCTACAATAAGTACCGTTTCGGGCAACAAAATACCAGTATTTTTCTGGTGTGTGTATCGCTGCAATAATATCGGGCGGAAAATTGTTGGCGTCTTCGGTGACCGGTTTACACTTGCCGTCCCAAAAGGCAACGTTCTTCTTGATATACAGATAACAAACGTCAGGTCCCTTAATCTTGCCGTATCTCTTGCGCTTGGGATCAACCAGTATGAGCGCCCCCTGATCTGGACTGTCAGCCGGATCGTCATCCTCTTCCAAGTCATCAATCGGCATATCCCTGATATCGCCAGCTGTAGGTTGTGGACCAGGTTTGCCATATTTGGACCATTTTTTCTTGTAGACAATAATAAAATTGTCAGGACCACCAGTTTCGGGACCATTAGGTGACCACTGGCCAACACCACCCGGAAAATGAATTCCCGTCCAATTTGTCTTTGCTTTGTACGCACCGTCCAATAGATCACCAAATGGTTTCTTGTCTTTCGGTTTATTATTAAATCTCCATTGTTTGCCACCTCTGAAGACATGTATAATATCATTGTAAACACCGCCCGCATTGATCACTGGATTGTTACACAAATATCTCAACTCAATCGGCATTTCTTCGTCTTTAGATCTTTCATGACAACCAAAGATTTCTTTATTGTCGCGCCATTTTAGACACTAATATTAAAATATTTTAATCAATTTGCTATTATTTATATAAAAAACTATAAAAAAATACCGATTTCTTATTCTCTGGACTTCTGGAACAATATTCGCCATTTTTATTGATAAAATAATCGATTTTCGAYTTCGGCTGAATGTATGCAATAATATTCGGCGGATAATTGTTATCGTCGTCTGTCACTGATTTACACGGATCTGTCCAAAAGGCCGTATCGTTTTCAATGCCAATATAGCAGACCTGATCGTCCGATACTTTAGCAAAACGGCTTTTGTTGTTATCCAATGGTATGAGAGCACCCGAATCGCCGGGACGTCGATCTGTTTCGTCAGGTATTTCTGACGGTTCGTCAAGAATTGGATCGTCGCCCACGTCATTGATTTCGGGAATCATTTTAACTTTCTTTTTAAAATCAATAAGAAATGGATCGTCAGGTGTTTCCTTTGATGGTTGATTGTCGCCATCATTTGGTTTTTTATTTTTTTCTCTATCTAATCCCGCAACAGAGGTTTCATCTGAAGGTTCGTTATCACCTCCATCTGGTTTTCCTTTTTTTGGTTTATTTTGTCCACCATTTGATGGTTTATTTCCATCATTATCTGGATCTTCATTTGATGGTTGATTGTCACCTCCATCTGGTTTTCCTTTCTTTGGTTTATTTTTCCCGCCATTTGAAGGCTTATTTCCATCATTATCTGGATCTTCATTTGATGGTTGATTGTCACCTTCATCTGGGTTTTCTTTTTTTGGTTTATTTTTCCCTCCATTTGAAGGCTTATTTCCGTCATCATCTGGATCTTCATTTGATGGTTTGTTGTCACCTCCATCTGGTTTTYCTTTTTTTGGTTTATTTTGTCCACCAGTTGACGGTTTATTTCCGTCACCATCTGGATCTTCATTTGATGGTTTATTGTTTCCGTCATCTGGTTTTCCTTTTATTGGTTGATTGTCGCCATCATTTGATTTTTTATTTTTTTCTCTATCTAATCCCGCAACAGAAACTTCATCTGATGGTTCGTTATCACCTCCATCTGGTTTTCCTTTTTTTGGTTTATTTTTTCCACCATTTGATGGTTTATTTCCATCATTATCTGGATCTTCATTTGATGGTTGATTGTCACCTCCATCTGGGTTTTCTTTTTTTGGTTTATTTTTTCCATCATTTGACGGTTTATTTCCGTCACCATCTGGATCTTCATTTGATGGTTTATTGTTTCCGTCATCTGGTTTTCCTTTTATTGGTTGATTGTCGTCATCATTTGGTTTATCCTTTTTTGGTCTATCCATTCCCGCAACAGAGGTTTCATCTGAAGGTTCGTCATCTTTTGGTTGACCATCAGGACTGTCACCATTAGGTTTCCAACGCGACCACTTGTTTTTGTAGATAATAATAAAGTTACGGTTCTCCCAACTCGTACCGCCTGGAAAATGAATTCCCGGCCATTTTTCTCGGGCCGGATCACCGCCGTCAATAAGATCACCRAAAGGCTTCTTCGGAGTATAATTATTATTAAACTTCCAGTACATGCCATCCTTAAACAGGTATATGTATGGCTCATAGTTGGCGCCGGCAGACAATTTGGGATTTCGRCACAGGTATCGGTATTTAAAATTAAGCCGTGCCTTCATTGTATCGCATCCTATAATGGTTTGAAGGGGAGACCATTTGTTGCACTATTATGTTAAATATAAATAAAAATATTAATATTTATACAAATCTCATGACAATTAAGTTATAATTTTTATTTTATGCTAAAATACTTTACATCTTCAACATTATTGACGTGTCGTTTACAGTACTGTCCATTCAAATGAATGAAATACCAGTTATCATCCTTTGCCTTAATAGCGGCCACAATATTAGGCGGAAAGTTGTGTTTGTCTGCACTAACATCAGTACAGTTGCCATTTCTGTAGCATTTCTTGTCTCTTACAATGTAATGGCAAACTTGATCTCCCATTACTTTAGCATATTTGGATCGCTTGGGATCTATATTTATTAGGGCGCCATCCGGTTGACTACCGCTTTTAATTTTAGGCATATCATTGTCTTCGTCTTCAATTTTCTGTTCAAATATATCTTTTGGTCGTTCAAAACCTTCGGGAAGCACTTCTCCTGAACCGGAAGGAGTCACATCGTTTCCATTACTTGACGGTTGATGATCCCCTTTGTCCGGTTTGTTATCAGTTCCATYATCACCGGGTTTATTATTACCACCATCAGGTTTATTTTTAYCAYYATCACCATCAGGTTTATTTTTATCTTCATCATCACCTGGTTTATTTTTACCACCATCACCATCAGGTTTATTTTTATCATCATCATCACCGGTTTATTTTTACCACCATCACCATCAGGTTTATTTTTATCATCATCACCTGGTTTATTTTTACCACCATCACCATCAGGTTTGTTTTTATCATCATCATCACCTGGTTTATTTTTACCACCATCACCATCAGGTTTGTTTTTATCATCATCATCACCGGGTTTATTTTTACCACCATCACCATCAGGTTTATTTTTATCATCATCATCACCGGGTTTATTTTTACCACCATCAGGTTTATTTTTATCATCATCACCATCAGGTTTATTTTTATCATCATCATCACCGGGTTTATTTTTACCACCATCAGGTTTATTTTTACCACCATCACCATCAGGTTTGTTTTTATCATCATCACCTGGTTTATTTTTACCACCATCAGGTTTATTTTTACCACCATCACCATCAGGTTTATTTTTATCATCATCATCACCGGGTTTATTTTTACCACCATCACCATCAGGTTTATTTTTATCATCATCATCACCGGGTTTATTTTTACCACCATCACCATCAGGTTTGTTTTTATCATCATCATCACCGGGTTTATTTTTACCACCATCACCATCAGGTTTGTTTTTATCATCATCATCACCTGGTTTATTTTTACCACCATCACCATCAGGTTTRTTTTTATCATCATCACCATCATTAGATTCTGTTGTAACTCCTTTATTAGGATCTGACTGATCGTCAATATCTTTTGGTTGTTTTTTATGACCCGAATTGTTTTCATCTTCTTTTGGGTTTTTTTTGTTGTCAATATTGAGCCAATCTTTGTCACTCTTGTCGGGCAACGCGTGTTGGGCTTCTTCGGGTGTCCAACGCGACCATTTTGTTTTGTAAACCATAATAAGGTTTGGTCCGTCAAAACCCGCACCGCCGGGCATATGTAAACCTGGGAACAAATCATTGGCCCGTTTAGGTCCACCAACCAGTACTCCAAATGGCTTATCGTTGACCGGTTTGTTGTCAAAAACCCAAAACTTTCCGCCTCTGAACAGCCATATGTGCGGTGTATGACTTTTGGTGGCCAGCGGTGACTCCTGAGTGCCGGCCTTTATCTGAACATTTTTGCACAAAATTTCCAATTCGTGAGTAACACCCGGCTGTTCACAACCAAACACTTCAGCGTTTGGTCGCCATTCTGTACACTATATTTGGTGAACAAATGTTGGATCAGTTTGTTTGTATATACAAGAGATATATCCCACTAAAAAAAATATGACAAACCGTTTCAAAATTGTTTTTCTTTCGTTTGCAGTATTTTCCGTTGCGATCAAAGAAAAACCAATCGTTGTCGTCATTCAAGATGGCGGCGATAATATACGGAGGAAAGTTGTTCTGGTCTTCGGTTACAGGAATACAATCGCCACTCCAAACAGCTTTATATGTCTTAATTGTAATATAACAGGTCTTGTCGTCAACAATTTTAGCGAACCGGCCGTTCATCTCATCAATAGGTATGAGAGCTCCTGCGTCGTCATCTTTGCCATTAACTTCACCTTTAGTGTCGTCTTCATCGCGTATCATATCTTCGTTGACATCGTTGTCTTTATTGCCACCCTTTGGTTGTTTGTCGCGTTCAATGGCAGCACTTTCTTGATTGTCAGGTAAATCTTTGTCAGTCTTTGGCTTTTTAGTAGTAATTGTTTTGTCTCTTTCAATGGCAGCACTTTCTTCATTGTCCGGCAAATCTTCGTCAGTCTTTGGTTTTTTAGTAGTAATTGTTTTGTCTCTTTCAATGGCAGCACTTTCTTCATTATCTGGCAATTCTTCATCGTTTTTCGGCTTAGAATTTTGTTTTCCGCTATCAGTCGGTCCATTGGATGGTTTTTTATCCGTACCAATAGCTGGTCTTCCTCCAGTATCATCTGGTTTCCACCTTGACCATTTAATATCATATACCATTATGAATTTATCCGGTCGTTGATGACCAGAACCGCCTGGAAAATGTATGCCCGGGTAGTCAATCTTTGCGGGCACCTGTCCCTCAACCAGTTCGCCGAAAGGTTTTTTTGGTTTTGGTTTATTGTCAAACTTCCAGTATTTGCCGCCTCTAAACACCAATATATTTGGCGGTAAATTAGTTCCCGCATTGATTCTCGGATTGTCACACAAAAACTTGAGCTCTTGTTTTTGTTTTTTATCGGCACTACAACCAAAAACTTCCCGATTGTCTGACCATTTATTACACTAAAATTATAAAAACAGTTTAAAAAAAGTTTTAATATCCGCTAATAAACATCATTTGATATTAACGATAACAACAAACCTCTTGATAGTTATTGTCGGGTCTCTTACAGTACTTTCCATTATCATCAAAGAAATACCAGGTATCGTCCGGTTTCGGTTTAATAGCGGCCACAATATAAGGAGGAAAGTTATGTTTATCTTTGCCGACAAACACACACTTTCCTCGCCAAAAAAGTTTATTACCTCTGATGACACAATAGCATACTTTGTTGCCCTTGATTTTGGCATATAGTGGCGCTGGGATCGTGTCATTAATAGGTATGAGCGCACCCTTGTCTTTGGGATTTAATTCTGGCTGATCGGGAATYTCTTCATCTTTATGCAATATAGGTTCGTCTAAAACATCGTTGAATCCGTTAGGCAACCATTGAGACCAGGTTTTTGCATGRACTACTAAAAAGTTGGGACCATTGTGACCGATGGCACCGGGCATATGTAGACCCGGGTATTTGTCGCGCGCCGGTACTCGCATTTCGACTAAATCACCAAAAGGTTTCTTTGGTTTCGGTCGATTGTCAAACTTCCAATATTTGCCGCCTTTGGTCACTAGTATGTGAGGCGGATAATTGCCGCCACCATTAATTGTCACATTTTTGCAAAGAACCTGCAGATCAGGGCTCAGATGTTTGGCCAGACARCCAAACGGTTCCTTATTATCACTCCATTTCTTACACTATTATTAAWTTTAAATGATAATACAGTTTAATAATTTGATTTCAATTTTTWAATTTTTAAAATCCAAACCTTATTATAATCTTTTTCGGCGCGTTTACAATATTTTCCTTCTTTGTTAAAGAAATACCAATTATTATCTTTCGGTTTAATGGCGGCCACAATATGTGGCGGAAAGTTTCGCGGATCGGAACTGACGTCAAGACACTCGCTTAATAGGAACATCTCTTCGTCTTCAATACTGAGTTCACAAACTTTATTGGCTCTAATTCTGGCAAACTTTCCTTTGTTGTCTTCTGGATTGATGAGCGCACCGGCATTTCCGTCGTCCGGTTCCTCCTCGTCCTGTGGGTCATCTTCCGGTGGTAATATAGGTTTGTTGTCCACAACTTTTTTGCCATCGGGTGTCCAACACGTCCACCTCTTGTTCTCAATAATAACACACAAATGATTGATATTATTGGTGAAGAATCGGCCGTACGTCGGATCAAATCCGGGCCACTTCTTGGCCGGTTGTGTTTCATCGCTAATTAATTTAGTAAATGTCGGTTCCATTTGTTTGTTAGGTTTGCCGGTTGGATCAAAAACATAAAGATTCAAATGTGTGAATACATTGATTAGTTTGTGATCCAATATAACAGTTCCTATAGTAATAGGATTGGAGCAGAGTTTGCGAATCTTATTATTCACTTTTGACAGTTTACAACCTAACAGTTCCCGATTGTCTTTCCAAATACACTACAAAAAAACCAAATTTCATAAATAGTTATTAATTTAAAAATATTTCCAATAAAATAATGAAAATTTTAATATTTTGCTTGCATATGAATCTTTCGGTGAAAGTTTAAAATATTTTTGTGCCTTTAATATAAATAAAACAAAATAAATAATAATTTATTATAAATAACATTAACCGACAAAAAAGCCTAAAAATATAACCTCTTCTTCGTTTAACATATCAGTATTAGTTTCATCGCTTTTTGCCGCCATATTATCCCAATCGAGTTGAGGTATATTATTGTAAGAGTTGTCGTCAACAATGAGCGGCCGTTTACAGTATTTGTCATCTTTGAAAAAGTAGTATATGTTATGATTGAGAGTCAGAGCAGCGCTGATATAGGGAGGAAAGCTCTCAACTGAATCCTTGACCGGATGCGGACCGTTATTATGACTGTCTCTCATGAGTTTTGGTCCCTTTTTGCGGTAATACCAGACCTAAAATTGTAAAAATATATATTATTATATACTTATTATTGCATATGTTTTCAATTAATTACCGATTCGTTGACCACAACAGCGATTCTATCGTTTGGCAACGGGATGGACACACCGGGACTATTATTCAGATCAAGTATTGGTTCGTTAACAACATCGGCGTCTCCATTGGGCAGCCATTGACTCCATTTTTTATTGTACACCATAACTGGTTTTTCACGATTGTGTCCAAAGCCGCCGGGAAAGTGAATGCCAGGCAACTTGTTTTTGGCCGGCACTTCACCCTCGCCCTCAACAATATTACCGAACGGTTTAAACTGTTCGGGCTGATTGTCAAACGTCCACCGCTTACCGCCCCTAAAAACTAAAATATTTGGCGGATGATTACCGCCAGCGCTGATCTTCGGTTTACGACATAAATTGTCAACAGTTGGGTGCCTTTTGTTGGCCTCACAACCAAATAAATCGGGATTATCTTTCCAATCGGTACACTATTTAAGTACAAATAAAATGATAAACATATTAAACAAAACATCAAAATGTATGAAAACTTGTATTACTTTTTCATAATTTTTATCTTTTCGTTTGCAATATTTTCCTTCGGTATTAACGAAAAACCAGTCCTTATCCTTGTTTTGGATGACTGCCACCAAATCTGGTGGATATGAGTGYTTGTCCTCATCAACAGAAACACATTTCCCGATTCGATACAATTTATTTTCGCGGAACAATAGTTGACAAACTTGATCGCCCTTTATATTTGCGCGGACATCAGGATTAGGATCATCGTTAAAAATGGCACCGGTATCTGATGGATCACCATCGGGCTCATCGGGCATCTCTTCGTCTTCGATGGGCTGATCCACAGCTTTTGGTGATTGGGATGCCTTTTTAGGATCCCTTTCCAGAGCAGCAGCTTCTTCCTCGTCGGGTTCATCTGTTTCGTTATTCTTCTTACGATCTCTTTCATTAGGGTCATCAGTTTCCTCTTCGTCCGGATCGTCTTTATCCTTTTTATCCCCCTTTTTGTTCCCCTTTTTGTTCGGGGCTTTATTATTCTTTTTCTTATCCCTTTCATTAGGGTCACCAGTTTCCTCCTCATCGGGCAGATCCTTATCACCCGGTTTTTTAATATTACCATCAATTCTCTTACCTTTAGGTGTCCAACGGGAATACTTTTTACGATATACGGCTATAGCATCCTTAACTATATGACTGAATCCATTGGGAAATCTAATGCCCGGCCATTTATTTTTAGCGGGCACCTGACCAGCGACTAATTCACCAAACGGTTTGTCGGGTTTCGGTTTATTATCAAATTGCCAGTATTTTCCGCCTCTAAATACAAATATGTGCGGCGGATAATTTCCGCCGGCATTAATCATTAGGTTCTTACAAAGCAGTTCCAGCTCTTGTTGTTGAGTATTGTCACCATTTTTTATTTTCTTCTTCTCTGACTTATCTATACAACCAAATGCTAAGTTATTGCTCTCCCATTTAGTACACTAACCAAACAAATAAGACATTATGTCTACAAATTTTATACTAAAAACTCATATATCACTAAATTTGATCCAAACTCACGTCTTGATAATTCTTGTCCGGTCTCTTACAGAACTTGCCGTTAGAGTCAAAGTAATACCAATTGTTGTCTTTTGCTTTAATGGCTGCAATAATATTTGGAGGAAAATTATTTTCATCTTTTTTAACCGATTTACACTTTCCCATCCAAAACACTCGCTTTCCCTTAAACTTGATATAACACACATCTGTGGCAACAATTTTGGCAAATATCTCTTTTGTGGGATCAGTTGGAATCAATGCTCCGGAGTCATTGGGATCATCTTCTGGATCGTCTGGAATTTCAATTATTTTGTGTTCGATGGGTTCGTCCTCAACATCTTTGTCACCATTTGGTTTCCATTGCGACCATTTTTTGTCGTAAACGATAATCGGATTTTCCATATTGTGTGCAAAACCGCCGGGTAAATGCATTCCTGGCCACTTTTGTTTTGCAGGTGCGGCGCCGTCCACCAGATCTCCTAACGGTTTACCTTTTTGAGGTCTATTGTCAAACTGCCAGTATTTTCCGTTTCTGAAGACATAGATATCGGGCGGAAAGTTGCCGCCACTCGTGATATTAAGATTATTACAGAGCGACTCGTGTTCTGGAGATTTGTTTGTATCGTCGCATATAAACAACTCTTTATTATCTCTCCATTCGGTACACTATTTATTGATCAAAAAATATTGTATACATTTGAAGAGTTCTATATAGTGATAGACAATGTAAACAACTAATAAATACTAACCTCTTTGATACTCATATGATGTCGACTACAATACTTACCATCAATTCTAATGAAATACCATTCGTTTGTTTTACTYTTAATGGCGGCAATAATGTCTGTCGGATAGTTAGTCTTGTCTTCTTTAACGGCCAAACACTTACCATCGAAATACATCTTATTTTCTTCGATAACATAATAACATATGTTTTTACCCTTTATATTGACATATTTGGCATTTCTAGGATCAATGTTAATGAGAGCGCCGGCATCTTTCGGATCGCCTTCCGGTTCGTCTGGCGATTCTTCTTCGTGTTCGCCAATCTTCTTATTAATGGCAAAATACAGACCGTTTGAGTCTTTATTCCAACATTTATAGGTCTTCTCATATATAACACACAGTTGACCCTTAATGAAAACAAACCGACCCTCACTCGGCTTAAATTCGGGATAAATTTTCTCCAAATCTATCGGTTCCGGCTTAAGATTATCAAATCGTTTGTCCCGATCAGGCGCTTCGGTCTGAGGTTTTATACCAAAGTCGACTGTTTTCTTATTGGCCGAAATATAGTAAATTGTATTTTGGTTGGGAGTTAGCGATCCAGTGGTTTGCGGGTTTGCACACAAATCGGTCCAATCTTTGGTCATATTATTCTTAGTCTTACAGTCCAACAATTCAGATATATCTCTCCAAATGCACTATTAATTGATAAAATTATAAATTTATTCAGTAATATACATACAATTAAATTACTAAAATTATTGTTTTATATTAAGCTAAACAAAATTATGATTAAAAAATATCAAATTCAAAACTTACATAACTGTCAACACTAGGGCTAAAATATTTTGCTGCCTATTGTCCAAAACAAATATAATAATTAGTATTAATATTTAAAAAACAAATCTAACAAATAAATACCTCAGATTCCGATAATTTCTTAGATTTGGCTCCGGGATACTCACCAAACCAATCACTTTCATAGACATCATTTTCAATGGTCGGTCCCACGGCAAACATAGATGACATCATCATTACTTGTAATGCTTTTATGAATTAATAATTTTCAAAATAATATATAATTAATTTGAATGAATATATAAACAGATTATATGCAATATTTTTTTGAATATAAAAACCTATTTTTAGCGGACGTTTGCAATATTTGTTGCTTTTAAAGAAATAATAGACAATATTGTTTGTCGACATCGCAGCGCACAGACCTTCGGGAAAATTTTCTGTCGAAAACTTTGTTTTCATCGGTCCGTTATCTTTGCCATCTTTGATAATTTTGTCGCCTTTTTTACGATAAAACCAAACCTATTAGTTATATATAAATGTGATTATAATATAAACAATTATTGGTAAATAACATAAATTAAAAAAAATACATTATCTTTATCAACGACAGCAACCCTACTGCCGGGCAACAGGACAGCCGTCGGCGCACAAATGATCTCATCGAGTATCGGCTCGTTGTCCACTTCRATCTCACCGTTTGGCGAATATTTACTCCATTTTGTGTCGTAAACAATCATTAGATGATCATTATCGTGGCCGACACCACCAGGGAAATATATACCCGGCCATTTACGTTTGGCTACTACTGTACCCGTCACCAAATTGCCGAAAGGTTTTTCCTTTTTGGGAATGTTATCAAACTCCCAGTATTTGCCGCCGCGAAACACAATGATATGTTTTGCAAGATTACCGCCCGAATCAATGGTAGAATTGTCGCACAGATTCTCCAATTCTATGGGAACGGGAAGTGAATTACATCCAAATATTTCTCTAGAGTCGAGCCATGAACTGCACTGTTAGATGAAAGATCACAAATCAATACAAATAAATAGATTTAATAATTCAATTAATCTAAAGAAAATTACGAACCGATTTCAAATCAGCGTCTTTTCGTTTACAATATTTTCCAAATCTATTGATATAATACCAGATATTGTCTGCAGACTTAATGCTTGCAATAATATTTGGCGGATAGTTATGTTTCTCTTCAGCTACTGGTTCGCAGAGACCACTATTGTAAAGAGTATTGTTTTTCAATACGTAAGAGCAAACCCTATCTTTCTTTACTTTTTGATATTTATCGCCTGATTTTTGTGGGTTTATAAGAGCACCGAAATCCTTCTCATCCCGTAGTCCATCGTCGGGCACTTCTTCGGGTCGAATCGGTTCATCAATGGTCGGCTTTTTTGGCATCTTTTTTGTTTTGCCTTCTTTTTCAAGAGCTGCAGACTCCTCTTCATCTTTTTCATCATCATCTTTATGCGGCCAACGCGACCAAACCTTATCGTGAACTATAGTAAATTGATTTTTCGGGTCACGGTTAATACCTCCCGGTACGTGAAGGCCTTTCCATTTATCTTTAAATGGTTTGTTTCCGCTAACAAGTTCGCCAAACGGTTTGTCCACTTTGGGTTTATTATCAAACTCCCAGTATTTGTCATTTTTAAAAACGTAAATATTTATCGGACCGTTACCGCCGGCCGAAACGGTAGGTGCTTTGCACAGGGTTTGCAATTCTTTATTATTAGACTCTCCAGCCTTACAGCCAAATACTTCAGTGTTTGGCTTCCAGTCTTTACACTTAATGATAAATGAATTAATTATTATTGATTATTATTTAACTACAATTGCTTTAAAATTAAGTATTWCTATCCAATTGTATACCTCATTATGATTGCCAACCGGTCTCTTACAGTACTTTCCATTCCTGTCGAGGAAATACCAAATATCATCGTTTGTTTTAATGGCTGCCACTATATTTGGCGGAAACTTTTTGTTATCTTTAGTCACTGGCAAACACTGACCGCTATAATAAAATCGGTTGTATCGCATAATTAGATAACAAACTTTATTGCCAGACACTCGTGCATATTTGGGCGGATCTGTGCCATCAATAGGCACCAGAGCACCCAAGTCATCCGGATTGTGTGATTTTGCTTTACCAATAGGCTGTTGCTTAACTAAAATTGAACCGTTATTATCCCATTTTGACCATTTATCGTTGGCTACAACAATCAGTTGACCCTCTTTACATCCCATTGCCGACGGAAGTATAATATGAGGCCATCGACTCAGTGCCGGAAGTGGGCCTTCAATTAGTTGGCCGATTGGTTTATTTTTGGCCGGTTTGTTATCAAAAGTCCAATATTTGCCGCCTCTGTATACATATATTTTTTCATCGCAAACGACGGCGCCTTTGATCTTAGGTTTATTGCAAAGCGACTGAAGATCACAACGAACTGTCTTAGCGTCGCATCCGAGAAGACCTTTGATGTCTTTCCATTCATTACACTAATAATAAATAATATTAAAACCATTAAAATAACTAAAAATAATATGATTTATCTCTATATAAATACTTCTTTATTAGTCAAATCCAATTTCTTGCAATACGTGCCATCGTTTTTGATATAATACCAGTTTTGATCCGAAGTCTGGATAACACCAATCAAATAGTTTGGATACTTTTCTTGTGTTTGTGTCTTATCGATGTCTACTTCTTCAAGTTTTCCGTCATCCATAATCATTGGAGTGCTTTTACCGTTTTTGATGAGCTCGTAGTTACCATTAATAGAATCACTTTCAATAAAAGCCGCCGGATTGGTGTCACCGCCGAGTTTCAAGTCAGCCATTTCTTCATCCGGCGCACAAATTTCCTCTTCTTTACCAATTAGATTACCCTTAGAATCCCAACACTTGTATTTAGAGTTATCTTTGATGGCACACATCTGGCCGTCAATTGAAAAGAACTGTCCGTAGTTGACATCAAATCCTTGCCATGTCTTCGACGGAACAATTTGTTTGTTACGTATATTGAGAAACAATTTATCGCTGCCTTTGATATCGCTTTCACTGCTGGCTCTGGCGTTCAGTGCATAGACTCTGTCAGTGGTAAAGAAATACACGTCTGTCTTATCCCACACAACGGTTCCAATAGATATCGGGTTTTTGCACAATTCGGTCACTTCGGGACTCGATTTTCCTGAATCACAGCCAAATAATTCGGAATTTTTTCGCCAAATACACTGTTATGYAAACAAATAAAAATTTTCTGTAAAGTTTCGGTAATATTATTTAAATTAAATGACAATTGTTTCATACATGAGATGGATCATCGGATTTAAGACTAAAATATTTAGATTTCTGTATAAATCAATTAATAGAAAAAATAAAATTACAAACAAATAACAACTAATTGACATAAAAATGACTGACTTCTTGATTGTCAAGTGGTTTCATATAAACAGGTCTCAGCTCTTTAGGTTTGTCGACAGTTTGAGACCACATTTCAATAGTGATATCGTAATGAGTGTCTTCATCAACAATAAGCGGTCGTTTGCAATACTGTGAGCCTCGGAAAAAATAGTAAACATTATTATTTAAGCTAAAGGAGGCGCCCAAAGCTATCGGCAATTTTTCCCGAGTATTATTGACCAGTTGTGGGTCCGAACCACACATTTTCGATGCCTTACAGATCTTGTTTCCCAATTTCTTGTAAAACCAAACCTGAAAATTACATAAAAATATATGTTATTATATAACAAATTCACTCATAAGTATTGCCAATCAATTTTAATCATTACTTTGTTTCCGATAACAACAGCTATCATATTATTTGGCAAAACAACAGCCGCTCCTCGATCTCTATCTCCTTCATCAATGGGTTCATCAATTTTCACCGGTTTATTATTTGGCAGATAATTTGAATACTTTTTATCATAGACTATAAGGAGTCCATTGCCAGCACCCGATGGCTGACAGACGCCGCCAGGAAACTTAATGCCCGACCAGAGGCTCTTTGCGTAATCGTTACCAGACGTAACAGTACCCATGGGTTGGCCCTCTTTCTGCTTATTATCAAATTGATAATATTTGCCGCCTTTGAACACAACTGGTCCCAGTGATAGACTACCTCCGGCATTGATTAATGGACTGTTACACAGCGCTTCTTGCATTGAATTCATCGGTTGATTACCACCCTTCTGACAGCCGAAGGCTAACTTATTTTTAGTCCATATATTGCACTATTAATTTAATCATAAAATTAATAATTAATAAAAATTATAATAAAATTATCATATTTTTAGACCTCTTCCTTAGAGCCAGAGGGACGACGACAATGTTTACCGTCTTTTCTAAAAAAATACCACATTTTGTCGGGTGTTTGCAAAGCCGCCACAATATTTGGTGGATATCTGTTGGGATCTTCATTAACATCAACACATTTGCCTAATTGTTTCAATTTGTTATCTTTCAAAGTATAGTAACATACGAGTTGTCCCTTAATTTTGATAATTTTGCCGTCAGTTTGGCAAATCAATGCACCGCTATTTGGATCATTMGGTTCTATTTCTTGCTCGGGTTCTTCTTCTTCTTCTTCTGGTTTTTTTGTCGATGTAGTCGTTGTCGTTCTCTCTTGAGAAGCGACTTCCGAAAGCTCGGGTAACTTTGTAGTCGTGTCGGTGTCGTCGTCATCGATTGGCGTCAAAATAATTGGCTGACGTTTAGGGCCGGTAGGCTTTTTAGGTGCTTCAGTGGGTTCGCCGTCATCACACTCTTCTTCGTCGTCATCGAGCTCTTCTTCAGTAATCGGCTCATTGATAACTACGGGTTCTTCTTTGTTTACGGAACACTCATTCGATGTCTTTATATTTGAATCAACTTCGTTAGCACCCGAAGCAGACCAATGCGACCAATGATTGTTATAAACAGCTGTCAATCCCTGTTTATCGCACGTAAAACCCGCCGGAAAATGTATTTTTGGCCACTTTTGTTTGGCAGGTTTGGGACCACACAATAGTTTACCTAATGGTCGATCACTTTCTGATTTACCGTCAAATAACCAGTAGTTGCCGCCCCGGAACAAGTATATACTGTTACCACAATTGGTTCCCGAGGATATCACTGAATTAATGCACAGAGACTGCAAACCTTTATCTAAACCAGATTTGGTTTTCTTATTACAACCCAACAGGACTTTTAGATCTTTCCAATCAATGCACTTAAAGGTTAGGTATTTAAAAAATAATATAAAATATTATGCATTTTGAGTAATTGAAACAAATTTATAATAAAATATCAATTACTGGTTTAGATGTTTTGTTTTCTCGACGACAATATTTTCCGTCGTTTGTAATGAAATACCAGTGATTATCTTGTGGTATAACAGCTGCGACAATATTTTTCGGATAATTCATAACATCATCTTTAACTGAATGACATTCCCCACTCCAAGTAGTCTTTTTGTTATCCAATTTAATCAAAACATAGCAAACTTTTTCTTTGTTTACTTTTGCGTATAGTTTTCCAGACACTGGTATAACAGCTCCGCCGTCTTTATCGCTGCCTTCGGGTTCATCCTTGACTTCTGCTTCTAAATAAACGAGTTCTCTGTCGGTTATAATAGGTTTACCCATTGAACTCCACTCCGAATATACGTTGCCGCGTATGACCACTAGATTTCCGTCAACTAAAGTGAGAGCACCGGGAAGTTTGATGGTCTTCCACTTGTTGGTGGCCAATGCGGCCGATTCAACCAAATCACCGAACAGTTTCGTAGGTTTGGGTTTGTTATCAAATTCCCAGTATTTGCCATTTCTGAACACAAAGATGTGCGGACCAATGTTGGCGCCGGCAGTGATGACTGAATTGGCGCACAAAGATCGCAACTTAGGTCCACCATCACGACATCCAAATAGTCGGTTATTTTCATACCATTGATTGCACTATTAAATTAAGTAAAACTACTTATTATTATCTTAAAAATCAAATTATTATTTAGTAATTATTACAACTTCTAGAAAATTTATGACATAATTACGGTAATCACTAATTCATACCTTTTCATAGTTATTATCAATACTTTTACAATACTTGCCGTCTTTGTTAATAAAATACCAGTGACTTGAATCGGTTTGTATAACGGCCACAATTTCCACAACTGTGTTGGGTTTGTATTTGTCTTTAATCCACAATTGTTTCTTAGTGTAAACCAAATTCATAACATTATCCTTTTGAATCACTTTAAAGTTGTATACATTATGATTGTCTGCAATGACAGCGCCGGCATATATCATATCGCCTTCTGGTTGATCGGGTGTCTCTTGGATAGCCTTTTCGGTTGTAGTAGTGGTGGCCATCATTTTGTCGTACATAGGTTTTGTGTACAACTTTTCCGTTTCATTTTTGTCGACCAAAACTATAGTTTCATTAGCATAGATGAGATATAACTTGTCGTTCACGTAAATGAAACCGTTTTGTTTTGGTTCGTATCCCTTAAAGATATCTTTGAACGAAATGGTTGACTTGAGTTTACTTAAGGCAGAGTCAAAAACATAGACATTATCGACACCAATAACATAGACATCAGAGTTTTTAATCAATATTCCGTATACATAGGCGTTGGCGCAAAATGTTTTGAGTTTGGGATCAGCTTTCTTACCGCAACCGAACAACTCTTTATTGTCTTTCCAGTTGCACTAAATTAAAGGTAATAATCGTTATAATAATTAAMGTCTAATAAAATTAAAACTAATAATACCATCGATGGATCCTTTTTATGAGAAACACTCGACTTATATCCTGATGTGGATATAGACCCCTAAAAATCATTGAATACATAAATTATTAATAAAGATAACAACAAAGTTTATGATTGATTAACTAATAAGCAAAAATTAATTGCATTAATCAATTAATTTTTCTCTTTCATTATAGTTTGAATGAAATTTTTTTTGACATTTGATGCAATCATTTGTTTGCTGTACTTAATGTATTAATAATATCATAACAATAACCATAACATACATTACTAGAACTGGAAATTTGTTGTGTATTTCCTTCGGAATCCAATTTATAGACTTCATTGTAAGTGTGTTCTTCATAATAGGCTTTGTTATCAAATTTCAAAYCCCTTTTACAATAACTGGATCCACGAAAAAGTGTATACTCTTTACTATCAGCACTGAAGGCACCGGTTATTGAATTCGGGAATCTATAGGGAGTCTTATCGACTGCTATTACATTGTTTTCATTAGCTTTAAATAGTTTTTCTTTTATCGTAATAAACGAAAAGGCCTTAAATAGGGATATAAAATCATTARTAAAAATAGTTATTTCTTAGATTACTTTACCTGATGTCCCAAAATGACAGACACTTTGTTATTAGGCATTAATACCGGTGCGCCGTTTCGATTGAGATTTGCATCAATCAAATTTATCGGCCCATTAGACACCTCAACAGATCCGTCCACTGCATACTTAGTATAGGCTTTGTTATCAGTGATTACATACAGGTTATCATTATATGTGAAATATGAGCCATGTTTTGGATCAAACTTTTTCCATATGCTATGCAAATCAAAGTTATTGGTGACCAACTTTCCCAATGGATTTAATGCCGTAAATTTGCCATCAAATTGGTAAACCTTATTCTCACCCAATACATAGATATTATTTTTATAGCCAATCACACCGGTAACCCATGGTTTTTGGCATAACTCATACAGTGGTGAGTTATCTCCCTTTACCAAAACACACCCAAACAGTTTGGTATTACTTTTCCAAACACATTTGCTCTGTTTTTATATTAAAAATTAATTTATATAATAAATTTAAAATTAATTTCTTTATCAAACAACTTCTGACTGACCTTAGGTTCCATTAATGTTGTAATTTCATTGTTTTTTAACTAAACAAAAAATTTAATAATACAGYGATTAAATTAATATCAATTATTGACGTTAGGATATTATACAATAAATAGATTAATCTAATGTATAAAAATTTGTGTCTTGTACGGCAATTAAGGGAATATTATGCTTTAATAAAAAAATTATAAATAATTTAAATTAAAGTTGGGTCAGTCTTTATGTTGTGTTTTGTAATTTTTCATAAATAAAGGAATTAAAAAATAATTTTTGGTAAGTTTTCATATATATTAATAGCATACACGTAATCTATCTATTGTATCGGTTTATAATACGTAAATATAATATATGATATAATACTGTATATAATTAGTAGTATAATAAATTTGTGTACATTATTGAGTGAAACCATTTTTTTATTGCCATTTTTGTCCAACTGGTAGACTTGAACTTCTTCTTCCTCCTCATAACTGATCTCATGTTTTCCGCTTTCAATTTTTCGGACACAATAACGGTTTTCCCGAAAGAAGTAGTACTTCCCGTCCTCTATCTCTAGATAACCGGTTATTGAATGGGGTAAATAATCTTCGTGATCGCTAACAAGTTTCGGTCCATTATTTGCATATTTTTTAATTACATTTTCCGATAAAACATAATTCCATACCTATAATRAATATATATAAATATATATATATATTTAAAAATGTGACAATCAGTTGTATAAAAATAATAGTTTTATATAACTATTACTTACTTTATCTCCTTTAATTAGTGAAAGGTTATTATCCACCAATAATACTACCGTATGATATGCACTATTAACGGGAATCTATAATAAAATATATTTAAATAGTAATTTTATTTTATTTTTAAAATGAATAAATTATAAATAAATTTGAAAAATACCTGTGAATTTTGTGATTGTAATTGTTTATTAGTTTTAATGTTTTGTGACAATTCAAATATTAATAAAAATATTAGAATAAACTTGATTTTCATTTTATCAAAACATTAGTGAGTATTTATAAACAAAAATTAATAACAATTATCATTTAAAACTAAAAATGGTTTTCTCCATCTTTTTTATAGAAATAAAATGAAAGCCAATGTGTTTTATCAGTTCAAATGTGTTTAAAAAAGCAATGTATAAGTATTGTATATCAAATGCCACATATTTTATTTAAAAATATATAATACTATATACCCGGTATATATGTAATTAAAAATGACTATAATATATATTGAATAAAACTATGTGTAATTTTGATATAAATTATTTTTAATCAACATTACAATAGTTAMTAAAATTGTGAACATTAACTATAATCAGGAAATTATTTTAAAATATTAAAATCAATATATAGTATCAAATAACTTATTATTATTGTATAAAATAGTATTAATATTGAAGAAAAATACAAACAAGTATTGAGTGAGTGAGTTTCTTTAGTAATAATTTAATTATTTAGTAATAAAAATTTGCTTTATTTCATAAATGTTAAGTAATTGAATAATTTTATCACTTGATTATGACATCAGTTTATTGTATTGTGTAATCAACTTCATTGTTGTTCATGTTTTACAAAATCATCGCTCTTTAAGTGGTATCGACGGCACAAATCTGTTCAAAGATGACAATAGGTGTGACTGTCTTAACATAAATATMACTTAAGCTTCTCTTAAGTATTGACATTAACTTTTTGTGTGCATTAATTARTATATCAATTATTRTCAAATTTTTTCGGTATTTTAGAAAATATGAAAAATCATATGAATCGGTAATATTTTTATTTTAATTAATTGTGTTGCAAATATCAATATAATTATAATAGATTTATAATAAATTTATAATAATAACATTACTATAATTTACTGTATTAATAAATTGGAGTATTTTTTACAAACAAATTRAAGTTTAATAATAAAAAAACTGTATTAAAAATTGAAATGAATTTSAATATAAGCTAACAAATAAAAAACAACAAATAGTTTAAAATTTAATTTTCACCACAAATTCATTCAACAAATCATTATCGATAAATATATTATAGAAAATGACTGCTATAGTGAACGGTCCGTAATCTTTGGACACCAAATAACAGGTCAGTCGTCTAAGGAATAGTCCCTTTTGTTTGCGACTATCAAACGGAGCCCACGTATCCTTAAAATTTGGTAAATCGTATCTAAGGTAATGGCGCATATGATCCATGTGCTCCTCTGAACGCTTACTAATTGTACATTTGTTAGTAAACTTTTTCTGATTTTCGATAAACTGTTTCAACACTAGTTTTGGATGCAAAATATTGTCACTATTACTACTACTATCACTTCTATACCATTGAATAATAAGTAATCTTTCCATCAATTCTTTGCTGATCTGTTCCTTAGATGTCGACAAACATTTCATCCATTTTTTATTTATAAGATTATAGAGAATCGTTGCTTTATTAATGGTTCGATAAAATGTAGTTGAGTTTAGCCGATGAACATATCCCTGTACTGCTTGTGTCAGTAGTTTTTCCTCATTGAGTGGTCTATACTGACCCTGGTCAATGGTCATATTAAATCAAATTATATAATGTTACTAAAACCTTACATTTTTAATATATACTATATATATATATATATATATATAAATAAATACCGGTTCCCATTTAGTAGTATGTTTGGTACTCTCATCATCGGTTTCATCATCAATATTATCTCCATTATGATCATCACCTGAATCAGTACTATTACTACTTTTTTCTGTACTTTCACTTATGGTATCTTCTTTTGATGATTTTTGGTCGCTATTGATGTTATTGTTGTCAATACTGGTAATCGTAATACTGGAACCGTCAGAAGAAATGGTAACTGTGTCACCATTTTCATCATTAGCATAGAAAGATGTGGTCGACTCTGAATTGTCATCTTTTGTATCATCAGTATTGGATGAATTGGAATCTGATTTCTTTTTTRTAGAAGACTTTGTTGTCGAATCAGAAAACTCTTCACTTTCGATAAGATTTTCGCTGATATTATCAGATTTAGAGTCTAAGTATTGTTTAGATTATAGCGATTAAAACAGATAACACTTAGTATTAAATAATTAACCTGAAGTTATAGTGGTCTCAGAGATATCATTATTGGTAGATAAAGATGTAGTCGACTCTTCATTGTCATCATTGGTAGATAAAGATGTAGTCAACTCTCGATTGTCATCATTGGTAGATAAAGATGTAGTCGACTCTTGATTATCATCATTAGCATAGAAAGATGTAGTCGACTCTTCATTGTCATCATTGTTAGATGTAGTCGACTCTCGATTGTCATCATTTGTAGATAAAGATGTAGTCGACTCTTCATTGTCATCATTGGTAGATGTAGTCGACTCTCGATTGTCATCATTGGTAGATAAAGATGTAGTCGACTCTCGATTGTCATCATTGGTAGATAAAGATGTAGTCGACTCTTCATTGTCATCATTGGTTGATGAAGATGTAGTTGACTCTCGATTGTCATCATTGGTAGATAAAGATATAGTCGACTCTTGATTGTCATCATTAGCATAGAAAGATGTTGTCGACTCTCGATTGTCATCATTGGTAGATAAAGATGTAGTCGACTCTTGATTATCATCATTAGCATAGAAAGATGTAGTCGACTCTTCATTGTCATCATTGGTAGATGTAGTCGACTCTCGATTGTCATCATTGGTAGATAAAGATGTAGTCGACTCTCGATTGTCATCATTGGTAGATAAAGATGTAGTCGACTCTCGATTGTCATCATTGGTAGATAAAGATGTAGTCGACTCTTGATTGTCATCATTGGTTGATGAAGATGTAGTCGACTCTTGATTGTCATCATTAGCATAGAAAGATGTTGTCGACTCTCGATTGTCATCATTGGTAGATAAAGATGTAGTCGACTCTTCATTGTCATCATTGGTAGATAAAGATGTAGTCGACTCTCGATTGTCATCATTGGTAGATAAAGATGTAGTCGACTCTCGATTGTCATCATTGGTWGATAAAGATGTAGTCGACTCTTCATTGTCATCATTGGTTGATAAAGATGTAGTCGACTCTTCATTGTCATCATTAGCATAGAAAGATGTTGTCGACTCTCGATTGTCATCATTGGTAGATAAAGATGTAGTCGACTCTTCATTGTCATCATTGGTAGATAAAGATGTAGTCGACTCTCGATTGTCATCATTGGTAGATAAAGATGTAGTCGACTCTCGATTGTCATCATTGGTAGATAAAGATGTAGTCGACTCTTCATTGTCATCATTGGTTGATGAAGATGTAGTCGACTCTTGATTGTCATCATTAGCATAGAAAGATGTTGTCGACTCTCGATTGTCATCATTGGTAGATAAAGATGTAGTCGACTCTTGATTATCATCATTAGCATAGAAAGATGTAGTCGACTCTTCATTGTCATCATTGGTAGATGTAGTCGACTCTCGATTGTCATCATTGGTAGATAAAGATGTAGTCGACTCTCGATTGTCATCATTGGTAGATAAAGATGTAGTCGACTCTTCATTGTCATCATTAGCATAGAAAGATGTAGTCGACTCTCGATTGTCATCATTTATAGATAAAGTTGGTGTGGATTCAGAGCTATCATCACTTTTATCTGAATTGGATGACTTGACACCAAACTTTGATGTCGRAGCGGGAAAATCTTCAGCTCCGACAACATTTTCGCCAATATTCTCCGGTATTGAGTCTAAGTATTGTATTAATTATTKCRATAAAATAATTAAAATTTTTATTTTATTATTAAACCTTCAGTTTTCGTTTGAGACGATTTGATGGATTCAGAACTATCATCGATGGCATAAAAAGAGGTCATTAACTCAGGTTTGTCACCACTTATTGTATCTGTTGTTGAATCTGTTATATCTTTGTCCAACTTTTCAGTTTCGTCGTCATCGATGGCATAGAAAGGAGTAATAAATTCTTGTTTAGTCCCAATTTTGTCATTTTTATTTACACTATTTGATATTAAAACGCTACCTAAATATGTATCACAATATTTATGAGTAAARATAAAATAAAATATTAAATTATAAAATAAAAAAGATAAAGTAAACTGTACTGGGTTTGTCTTTTTGGTTATCATTAGTRATTTTAGCACTTTTACCACCTTTTTTGGACACTTTATCTAACAAAATAAACAATTATCAAAATTATTTGTATTCAAAATTTTTATCAACAATTATTGAAAATTAAACCCTTCGTTAATTTTTGTGTCACTACTAGACTASTASTAGTAGTAGTAGTAATAGTAATAATAGTAGTCGTATGAAATTGTTTAGCTTTTTTAAACGCTCCTCTTTTAGGTCCAAACAGTTTAACTCCCTGTCCTGTATCAGAATCATCTATTAAATTATAAATACAAAAAATTATTTACCAAACATAGTTTGTTGTCATACTATTTGCTAGATCATTTTTACCTTTATCTGTACTGGCCAATTTGATAACCTATTATTATTTAAGATATTGTTAAATATATCAATTAAAACATTATTATAAATTTTTTAACACAAACCAATAACAATGATAATAACAGTAAAAAATTGATGATTGATATCTTATATATGATACCCATATTGTTTTTGATATATGAATTTCTATAAACAATTCTCAAAATAGAAAATACACTTAAAAATTCAATATTTTTCATATGTTTTAATATTTAAAATTTGTTATTATGAAATTTTATTCAATTATTTTATAAAATATAACATATTAGAAAATCAATAAAAATGTACATACRATTAATTAATTAATTAAAAATATTAATATTTATAATTTATAATATGTTTAACATGGTGTCTAAAGATAATTATTTTGCAATTATTTTATTGATAATTAACTATCAAATTATATTTGTTTATAATAAATATGAACTAGAACCAATTGGTATATTTATAATTTTATGAAATTATAATTTCGTTTAATAAATTAAAATTAAATACTTATAAATGATTAAAATTTTACATTATTTTTACTTATTAAAAAAGTCAATGAAACTCCAGAACCCGTGACAACAACTGCCGATCCGAACCGATATATTGGTCCACTAGAGGCTAACCCACCGGAAACAACAGTTACTCCCGAAGTGTCAGCCGAACTCAATCCAATGCAATCAATGCTTAAAAGTACATTAAATCTTAATTTAGGAGTTATTCCGACGTTTCCGATATTCAATACTTTGTTTAATAAGTTACCGATTGCTAGCAATCTTTTCAAACAAAACTCAACCCTGGCTTTTATTAATCCATATCCAGAAAAACAAAATTCAAATTAATTAAAAAAATTTTATTATGTTTTTACAGAAATTATAATTTAATATATGTTATATATATTATATGTTTCTAATGGAAAATAATGTATTTTTATATTTCATACTGTATTTGTGTAATTTTTTTTATTGTAAGGTATTAATATACAAATAATCAAAATCTTATAAAKCTTACAAAAATAAAGTATCGTAATATAATAGATAAATACAATAATCCTTACATATTATCAGAAACCGAACCGAACTGGAAAACTAAAAACAAAATCATACAAAACTMTAATTTAATCTTAAAAACCGAAACCGAGTCTAAACTTCAATTTTAATAAAGTTTATACTTTTTTATTAAACAAAACATAAAACATAAACCCTTGAAAACTATTTTTGATTTCGGTTTTTGTGGTCAAACAAAACCAAACTGTATTCAGTTTCTTATTTTAATTGAACTTAAAAATATTATTTTTATTAATATTTTTATATTGTAARYAATWATAATAATAATTATTATTATTAGTTGTCATTCATCTATAAAAAGGTAAATATGATTTGAAAAAATCTCCGACAGTTGATCGCAACTCATTGTGATTAAACAAAGTGGATATGGAGTCGCCTACCGATGACAGTGTAGACCTAATGTCAGGCAACTGTTGTCTTACATCTTGAGTGACATTACTGAGTAGAGACTGAAAACTGGAAAACTGTGTCAACCGAAGCGGTGAATATTTACAGGTGATTGCCGTTACGTTCATCAGGTTTCTCATTGTACTCAACATTAGATTGATATTMATTGCGGTCACATTGATAAACACATCGTAAGTCAAATTGTAGGCCTTATTTTTGGCATAATTRAAATCATCAAAATAGGACAGTGATGTATTTAGTGTCAAATTGGTCAAATTTCCTATACGATTCAATGCATTGTTAGATAGGTTAGCCACTCGATTGCCCAGTTCATTGAGAGCACCATCAAAATCTGTTGTCATATTTATTGTAATACCGGGCAAATTGCTTGTGTGATCTATAATATCACTAATTTGGTCTCTAATCATATTGATTGATGTATTTCCCAAATTGACTGCCCGGTCGAATCCATTGGAGATCATATTTTTAGTGTTGTTAAGTATCTCAACAATAGAGTTGTTAACAATTTGTTTCAAATTGATCCGATAGTTCTTCAAATCTTTAATTTCATGTTTCGTAAAGTTAACTAAAGCTCCAATACTTGCATTCATTATCTTATATCCCGTGAAATTAAACGACTTTTTAATTTTAGGTAATATTTCTCTAGAAATATTTCGACCCAAATCATGGAGAACCGTGTGATTAGTCAATTGATGCCATTGTAAGTCATTTGTAAACCTCTTTAAGTTATCAAACATAAGATATGATATATTTTTGGTGAGCGTTAGCACCGCCTCAACAAAAGGCATCTCATTTTCGCGGCAAATGAGCGCCGTTTCGGCTAAAGTTTTTACATATGTATTATTGAGTGCTTTATTTGGTACCCAACCTAAGTTGGTCACCGGTATATCAAAATTGGTTAAATTGAGTTCATTGAGTGTATTGTATACTATTTTGTTTGTAGTCGTAAAATAAGTATTGTTATGAGTTTGCATTTGTCTAAACATATGGGACCGAAACACGTGATTCAATATCTTAATGAAGGGTTCAGCGCCCGGTATGGCTTTGATTTGRTCACTACTCATGTTTTTCACTTCATTTAAGATTTTGATGGTCACCGGGAACTCGGCTTCAGCCCAACAAAGCGTTATGTTAATCATATCACTGATTTGATCAGCACTTACATTGTCTATGAGTTTAAGAATATATATAAATAAAAATTAGTAAATATTTAATAGTATATTAAAAAAAAAGTTTATGACAAAAATCAAATAGTTTAAAACGAAACTTTTCATTATATAGTATCAATATTAAAAATTATGAATCAAAATTGTTTTAAATTTATAAATAAATACATCGCTTATCAACCGCTATTTAAATGCTTTAAAAAATAATATATTATATTATTGTATACTAACAATACAGTATTAAGCAACATTGCAAAAGATTTTTTGTGAAATACTAAAATTAATTGATAAAAATTAAATAATCATACTTCTAATAACTATAAAAAAATTTGAGACATTATATATTTTTATATTAATAAATAAAAATAAATAAAATGCAAAACAAACGTGCTGGGATAGGTATGTCAAATAAGTGGTTAAAATTTTTGTATATTTTCGAGTTTATTGATGTTTTTCTTGTTATTTCTAATAAATTTGTAGGAATGAGAGTAGTAGTAGTAGTAATAGTAATAGTTGTTGTTGTACTAGGAGTAGTAGATGTTGTTGTTGTAGAAGTAGTAGTAGGAGTACTAGTTGTTGTTATAATAGGAGGAGGAGTAGTAGTAGTAGTAGTAGTAGTAGTAGTAGTAGTAGTAGTAGTAGTTGTTGTTGTTATTGTGTTTGATGATGGTGTTGATTGTGGTAATGATTTTGAAGTTTTAGTATATATTATTGAATTTTTCCAAGCATTAACTTGTGGTGCATTATATCCATAATTATTAAAAATATTATAATTATGATCATTGTTATCATTATTAGTATCAATATTAATATTCTTATTATTTTCAATGTTTTCTGTATTTATAGAATCAAAATAATTAGCACTTATTGTGAAAAATATAAAAATTACAGTATTATATAAAAAAGCAGATTTTATCATTTTTAYAGCCATTTTATTCACTTAGAAAGTTAAATAAATTTTATTTTTTAATGTCAATATGTTATATAAATATATGTTATTAATATTACATATACATGTATATTAAATATTTAATTTATTTATAATTTCTTAAAATCTAATTATTTAACTACTATACTAATTGATGGTAAGATTTTTAATAAATAATTTATTGTTCCTGCTAATTTATCTATTTTACATGAATATACTGTTTTATAAAGTTTTAAAACTCCTTTTTATTTATTATCATTTATAATTATTGGGTATTTAGTAATTAATAGTTTATGATTATGTATTATTTATATTCATAATATTAGATAGATTGATTTGAGAAAATTAATTTTAATTATCAAAAAATTTACTGTTAGACTTAAATATTATAAAATAAGTAAAATTACAAAAATAAAATCATATAATAAATTGTTGTCGTGTTTCAAATAATAAAACAAATGTATGTTTATTCAACCGAGTTATACATATAGTTGATTTGGACAGAAAACAATTTGATATCCGGTGTATGGTTTGCCGTGACAGGTGAATGTGCTGACTGAATCATCGTAGGCGTAACTGTAGGCCTCAGGACAATACTTTTTGAAAAAGGCCGGGTAGTTGATGGGCCAGTCTGTGCTTTTACATGTCTCAGGCGTACTATGTTTTCCACTACAACAGTACTCATCGGTCTTGTACTTAGCGCACGCACTCAGACACGCGACAGTACGACCGTCCGATTTAACGGTCAACTCAGATGGACAGGTGGTTAGTAGATCTGCGTTACAACCGGCCACTCCACAGTCATAATGTCCCGATCCTTTTTTGTCGTACGTACCAACAATTGGAGTAATACTGATTCCAACGTTATAGCCGTCCACAAGACTGACATCATAGAAGTCCATACCTCCGTCTTTGTTAGCGAGAGTGAACTCTGCCAATGTTGTAGGTGTGGCGCCATCACCTGATTTGCATCCATGGCCATCAGCATTACAAAATGTATTGCCCCACATACGACCGGCCCAACCGGAAGCTATGTTGAAGTTGTGCTGATCGCCAGCATTCATAACAAACCCACCGTTCTCCGGGTTTCCTTTACCCGGATTGCCCAATGTTTTAGCCCATACCGTATGGGGACAGTTGTTTTGAAAGCGAAATTCAGTGGCAAATGCGACGCCAAATACTAATACCGATAAGCATATTATAATGCTAAACATAGTCATTATRTATTTACAATAAAAAAAATACTCACAAATTATATATAATTTTTTTTATTTTAATAGTTTTTTGCATCTCTTTTTATAGCATTTATAAAATTATTTGTAAAAAATATTGATAACTTGTATTTCATAGCATATGGTAAATTAACCATTATTTAAAATAATAATAATAATAATAATAGTCCAGGTGATTATAATAGGTATTATTTCTCAGTATATTTGTCATTTATTAGTTTATAATTCAAATAATTAATATTACTTTGAATTACAATAWWACATAATTAAATATTGTTATATCATACTAATAATAATGTCAATATTTATTAAATTAAAAGATAGATAATTTGTATAAAATCATAGTATTCTMAAATGAGTTTCATAGCAATTAGTTTTAGGTATAAATGTTAAAAATTKTTAAAATGATATTTTTACAAAAAAAATCTAAACTATTAATAATGAAAAATATATTTTTTACATAAACAGCTAATTCATATTAAGTACTTAAAAATGAATTTTATCAAAAAATTGTTTTTTAAAGATACAATTAATTCTAATGATAAATGTTTTAATGTTAAAAAAGTGTTTTTAATAATTTGAACAATTGTGATAAACATACAGTAATATTGATTGTTATGCTTTATATTTGAAATGGTGCCAAATAAGACTATAAATTATCTATAATTACCAATAATTTTCATTTTAATATATAGTTAACATGTATTAATATTCTTAGTGTGTTTTTATACAATTTTTATTAGATTTTACTGTATTAACTAGTGTTTGCAAAGACAAAATGTTTGAATAATACAAAGAGTACAATGTATACTACATGACCAATATTGCCATACAAAACAAAAGTTAGCGCCACCTAGTATMACAACCATTGATATAAGAAAAAATAAATATGAATAAAAATAAATTTAAATATATTATTTTTTAAAATTTTATTTTTATTTTTAGAAAACAACTATTAATATAAAATTAATTAGTTTTTTAACAATTATATTGTCATTAAATGATTTWTAWTTTTTTTAACAATATATATTAGTTTTTAAAAAGTTTACATYGTATTATACTRTATTATACAAATCCAAAATTCAAATCCTTGTATTTTTCCATCCCTACTTACAATGTTAGCTAAATRTTMAAATTATAAYTAAATTTATAGTTAGACTAATACTGTAAATTAAATAATCAATACTAATGAATCTTAAGTTATAATAATTAAGTTGTTAATGTAATATACARTACTTTTATAATATATTAATAATACTATTARTGTAAATAAATTACTCAATWTATTTCAGAATATTTATTTTAAATTATTACTTTTAATAAAATAGTTATTAATATACATCTTTGATAACAATAATTATTTTCARCAAAATGTGATTTCATAGCCAGCATTTGGAYTACCCTTACATRTGAATGTGCTGTTTGGGTCATCATAAGCATAAGCATAGGCATTAGGACAGGCAGTCTTGAAGATCTTGTAGTAGTCTTTAGGTTTTTGACATTTTTCAGGTGTACTATACTTACCTCTGCAACAGTATTCATCTGTTTTAAACTTYTCGCAAGCGTTCATACATGCGATCACTTTTCCTGATTTGTTATATACTGCCAACTCTTTCGGACACAAACTGTTCAAATTACTGGAACAACCGTCAGTAGTGCAGTCATATTTAGAGCCACCAGTCTTAGTGTATGTTCCCGGTATTGGCACCATTTTCATCATTAGATTAAAGCCATCGACAAGACTAATATCATAGAAGTCGTGACCACCGGAGCCCTTAAGCGTAATTTCAGCCAACGTTGCGGGGGGTACTCCACCGGCGCCTTTGCATTGAATTTTGTTACCTAATATTTAATTGAATATAATTTTATAGTTTATAAAAATTATTTTTCCTAACAAAAAATCTGTTATAATATAATTTAAAATAATATATATATATATATACAGCGATGAAAATCAATGTAGATGTATGAAAAAAATCTATGAATTTGATGAATTCAGAAAATACTATAACATTACAAATTGTAATTTACAATAATGTAATAAACATAAAGTTTTAGTTATTTTCTGAATTTATGAAATTCATATATTTTTTCATACATCTACATTGGTTTTCATCGCTGTGTATATTAGTTAAAATAATTGATGTGTATGATAATTGTTTACTTACCACAATCACCGGTTTCACAATGTCCAGCACTGTTACAATTGGTACGTCCCCACACTCGACCCGCCCAATCATTGGACACCTGTAGGCTCTTTGTTTTTCCCGGTGCTAATTTAAAGCCACCATTTTCAGGAATAGCCTTTCCTGGATTACCCAATAGTCCAGGCCATACARTAAATGAGCACCGGTTTGTTATTCTGAGCTCACTGGCCATAGCCGTGGCTATGAATAAACAGATAATATTAGAATGTATCATTATATTATATTATATTATTTTTGAAAATAAAATTGTAAAATATATATATTTGTTTTTAATATGCAATATATATTGTCATTAATCGAATAATTGTCTTTATTTATATAACATTTTATTGTGATTGGTTACATAAAATTAGCATGTTAGTTTTTATATGATAATGTAAGTATCAATGTACATGTTAAATTGATAATTAATTAATAATTATATAACATATTATACTAAATATAATGAAAATTTAGATAAAATTTATAATAATATTGTTAAATAATATTATTTTTGATTGCAAAAATTTAATATTTCCATTAAGATAAATTAGTAARCAATTATTAAATTCATTTATTATAWACCGGTATAACTGAATAATAAAACATAAATTTCAATAAATAAGTACAATATATCTAATTGATAAAATATTATTTTTATTTATTTATAAAAATTAATTATTATTTTATCTGTAATAAAAAAATATTTTGCCTTAATTTGAAAACATAAYATTTATTATGTTTATTTAATATGTAAAGTATGCCGAAAATTATAACTTAACATACAATTAATTTTAATAACATAATATTTATTATGTTTATTTAATAATTTTAAACTTATTTTGCAAAATATAAATATAACTAAAATTTGTATGAACTTTTTTATAAAAATAATAAACTATTATTTTAAATAAAAATTATTTTGATTAATACTATAATAATATTAATACTGTATTTTTCAATGAATTTAAATAAAGTTATATTTCCATAAAAACAACAACACGTAATTGATATTAAAATATTATTATATTGAATCAAAAACAAATTTTAATTTTATAAATTAATCAATAATAAACTATTATTTTAAATAAAATAAATATTTTGATTAACAATATATTAATATTATTATATTGAATCAAACACAAATGCAATTTTATAAATTAATCAATAGTTAAATACAACAAATTTTATAACAATACAAATATAACAATTTTTATGAAGTAAAGATTAATTTTTTATAGTTAAATTTTTAACTTAAACTGTTATTGTATGATACACACACTATGATATATCTATGATAGTTAAAGTACTGTATATTTTATTATAATTTATTACAATGTGTTTTCTGAATGGAAAAGATATAACAATATTATTATTGTTGAAGAYAWCAATTTATTATATAAATTAATAGATGATATTAAAATTAGATAATATATACTTTTTTTATTATTTATTTATTTTTGTACATTTATACAAACAGATTGATCAGTTAGACATAGATCAGGCAAATAAAAAATAATACAAATTTAAGGACAGAAAGTAATTTCATAGCCAGTCTGTGGATTTCCGTGACACGTGTATGTACTGGAAGTGTCGTCGTAAGCATAGGAGTAAGCATCAGGACAGGCACCTTTGAAGATGGCCGGGTAGTCTTTAGGCCAGTCTTTGCTCTTACATGTCTGGGGTGTGCTGTGTGATCCACGACAACAATACTCATCTGTATTGAACTTCATACAAGCACTCATACAAGCTATAGTCGAACCGCCACTGTTTTTCATAGCCAACTCTGCGGGGCACCGGGCGTTCAGATCAGCATTACAACCGGCAACGTTGCAGTCATATTTGCCACCACCGGTCTTACGATAGGTGCCAGCAATTGGAGTGATTCTTAGGGGAAGATTATAACCGTCGACAAGACTGACATCATAAAAGTCTTGATTGCCGGCGCCGTTCAGTGTAAACTCAGCCAATGAAACGGGAGGTACTCCTCCAGCMCCTTGACATTGGATTTTATTACCTAAAATAATTGACATGTATTTTAAAATTAATTTAATAATCATTAAAAAGTTACGAATTATATTATCTATTAATTAATAATTATTTTATATATATTTAATTTAATGCTATCTTTTTAATTGTATCATAAGTTGAATTATTAATATAACATGTAAATGAATTTTAAGTTATAATCATTGATGTCTTACCACAATCTCCAGTTTCACAATGTCCGCCACCATTACAATTGGTACGACCCCAGACTCTACCGGCCCAATCACCTGCAGTCTGGTAAGTGTGTGTCTGTCCCTGGCCTAATGCAAATCCGCCGCCTTCGGGATTACCTTTGCCTGGGTTTCCCAAAATACCGGGCCATACGGTAAATGGACAGTTATTATGGAGTCGCCACTCATTGGCAAAGGCGCCGGCAATTATGGCCGAAAATACTAATACAAACTTCATAATTATTTTTATTATAGATAATATATAAATACTAATTTTGAATTTATATATTTACTATTAGAAACACTAATAATTGTTTGAGTAATCAAAACCATTTATATACTATTTTTTGAATCCTGTTTTGATTGATTTGTAAAATTATAACATATTTTTTGTATAAATTATCAATTATTGCAAAATAAATATCATTGTTATCAATAAACTAAAAATATTATTTGTTGATAAATAACATAAAACAAGCAGGTAATTTATTATTATTATTTACATTAATATTATTTGTCAAATATATTGAAAATTATTATTTTGCAAAACGTTAGCAAGAATAAACATATTTTATATTAAATTTATGATATTGCTTTTTTAATTATAAATAATTTAACAGTAAAATTAAATTAAAGTATTACTTGCATATTGTTATTATTTATTGTTGTAAAGTGTGCAGTACAGTTTATTAAACAATGTGTTTTTCCATACATTGATTTATTAATTATCAATTTCTAACTAATATATCTATTTATGGATGTTATGATATTTGGTATTAATTGTTTTCATAGTTAGTTTGATAAACTATTGGACTTATTTTACTACAAATGCGTCAATAATATAAAGTAGAATTGATTTTTAATTTGCTTTATAATAGATTCAATTTTATCATATTTTAATTAAAATTAACCCAGATCATTCATGTTAAGTAGATAGATATAAGTCCAATTAAGTTTGAGGTAAAAAGCACTTAATAATACAAGATTACTTTTTTGTACAATAAAATAAAAGCAGAATTTAATTACCAAAACAAACTTTTATTGTAAGTAAACTTAAARGTAAAAATCAATATATATATATATTAGAGATGTTAAATGTTTTTTAACAAATACTTGAATCATTAAAACTTTTTTTTTAAATCGGTTATTTTACTAATATAAATTATATTATTTTTTATAAAATTATATTTTGTAAAGATTTTATGTATACTATTTAAATATATAGTCATTTTTTATAATAAATAAAAAAACCAGTACAATTATTATCAAAATTATTAGTTATTCAAATTTCGGATCTAATTATGTTTAGTCTAATTAGTCTAAATTAAAAAAAAACATTATTAAATAATTTTTGTTTATTGCTAATTGTTAACAAAAATAAATAATTTACACAATTTTTTCCATAGATCTATTGTTTATACAGTTAGTATACATTTTTAAAATAATGAACTAACACTGAGCCAAAATATTGGATTGTCCCGGCTAATACTTGACGTTTAATATCACTAATATAATAATAATATAAATATATATAACAACTAATAAGACATTTATATATCATGATAAATAATATAAACTTTTTTATTAACAAACATATAAATTATGCTTAAATACTGTATTATTTTACTTATAATGTAATATTATAGTTATGATCTTTTTTAAGTAGATTTAAATTCAAGCATAATATTAATTGTCTATTAATTTTATATTGCAGTTTARATGATGTAACCTATCATATAAACTGTACTAAATGTTGAATTAAGAAAATGTTATGCAATTGTTTAGTCATAGGAATCAAAATTAATTATAAAATTTTTTAGTAATTGTAATTTCCTCTATATTTTTGTTGTTAAGCGACACACTTTTAGGACACCTGACCACAAACTGGGGCCAAATTAATACCACAAATAGCGCTATTTCGTCCTCTAATGTCGCGGGAGGACTCATCACAAGTTTTTTATTTTCTACAATATTTTTTTTAATTAATAAAAAATTATTTAATTTTACTCAAATTTTTTTAAAATGTAAAATTTATACACAATTATAAATTTATGCATTATATTTTAGTATTATTATTTTAATTAACTTAAAATCTTATTTTATTTATAATATTTAAGTGATAAAAAAAATTTAATAAAACATTCAACAAGTTATCACATTATAAGAGACATACACAATAAATACAATTAATGTAAAGATACAGTTTATATATGATATTTTTTGTTTATTAAATATATCTAGAAATAGATATTAATATAAAGTTGGATATTATATAAACAATTTTCCTGAAATTAATTATCAGTTAATATTTTATGACTATAAACACTAATATAACAATAAATAAAATTATATTAAAAATATTGAATTTTTGGCAAACATTTCAATAATATTATTTATATATTATGTAGAAAATGTTTCTACACTATGATTATTTTTCTAAACAAATATTAAACGTTTAAAAGCATTTTATACTTTTTAGATAAATACTTTAATTAAAATAGTGTTATCTATTTGTGAATTTTCATCACTTATGAATTTGTTTGATATCTAATTATTAATACTAAAATTTATTATTTAACAGAATATATAATTTAGAGTAATAGTTATCGATAGTCCTAATGATTAAAAGTAGTAACTCTTGTTAGTTATTGACAATAACTTATTGTTGTCAATCGATAATTTGCTCAACAATTAAATGATTATATTATAGTTATTTTATTAAATATTTTGATTTAGACTTAAATAACAATAAAAAATCAAATAATTTGACTTTACTTAGTAATTTAAATTATGTTTTTATTATTTTGTTCTAAATATAATCAATTTGTTTGTTTTTTAAAAAATAAGTCTAAAGACTAAAATCTGATCATATTTTAAAAATATTAATCATTTTGTCAGGTAATACTAGGCTTTTAATTTTCAACTTGTTTTTATGCTTACATTATTTGATAATATGATTTGGTTTATGTAAATAATAATTGATAATAAAAATAAATAATTGCATTAAAATACTAATCAACGAATGCTCTAATTATTCTTATTTTATTATACCGTAAAATATAATGACTAAACATTTTTTACAATATATAAGAATAACTCATATTAAATATAATAAATTAAGATATAATTCAAAATTAGATTTTATTAATAAATTAAAAATCATAAATAAATAATTTATAATAAAATATTTTTATAAGCTTTTAATATTTTATTGTTTATGCAAATAAACAGTTTGTTAAATTAATTTATTTTTATTTTAATTAATTTATGTGTTATTTGTTGTTATATTTTTAGTTATATTACAAATACTAGTAATATTTAAATTAAGTTAAAATATTAATTTTTAATATAAATGTATATAAACTAATTAAAATATTTTTATAAAAGTTTTAATTATAAGCCCGGAGGACACAAACTCATTAAATATAAAACAGTGGTTTCATACTTGAGGTTTGAATTTTTAGGAAACAAACAAACAAACTGTACATTACTTGTTGTTTAACGAGGACTACATGTTAGACATAATTTTGTCGTTAACTTTGATGTTAGTAAAGGAAATCAACAGTTATTTAAATATTTAAACGGCTTTTAAAAAGTTGTTTCCTGTTTTATAAATTTGTTTATTTTTGGACAAACTTTGATTTTTAAAAATATTTGTTTTTTATTTTAAAAATAATAATAAATAATTTCTATTATTAAAACATGCCAAAGTTATTCATAATTGAAAATGTAAATAAAACAAATAAATTAATATATATATATTTTTGAGCTATTTCATGCAAAACTAATTATAAGGTAATTGCATAAAAAAATTAAAAAACAATATATAATAATATGATTATTTTGAAAAATATTTTTAATTATAATATAAATTATTTATATATAATTATATAAACAATGGTATTTTTAAGAAAATATTTAAAGTTCATTGATATAAAATTTAGAGTTCATAGTATTAATTTAAATATGTAATGTAATGTACAATCAATGTATGTGAAAAATATAATACAGTATTAATACTATATATAAAATTTATTTAACAATTGAATACTTATTTAACAAATAAATAAATTTATTGTACATAAAAATATTGTTTACAACATTGTATTATACAATGATCTTATATTTTAATAATAAAATAAAAAGTAAAATTTTATGAATTAAACGCATGAATAAAATCGTTTTTTGAGATCTCCTCCCACTTGATATTGAATATGTGATTATTGTTACAAACAATTTGTTTGTTTATTTTATTTGAATAGTATATAGCTTTTTATAATATTGTTATATAATTTATAAATTAGATGTGTTTAAATTAAAATCGTGATTTACTAAATAAAATGTAACTTACATTATAATGTACTTTATATAATTTTTATTTATTTATTGTAAACAAATAATTTCTATATATGTTCAAAATAAATACTTTAAAAAATGATTTTTAAAGTTATTTTTATTTTAATATTTATGTTTAATATAAAATTTTATGATATTAACAATAAACCTTTTAACCTTATAGCATTACTTAAACCTTTATAAATTACAAATATGATATAATTATCATTATAAAGGGTAATTATTTTTATGATAAAATTTATTGAAAAACTTGTTTTTAAAATTACTTAAAATATAAAAATTTCAGACAAAAAATCTTTCACTCGAAGCGAAAGTATTTTTGTTAAAAAATATATATAAAAATAGATATATTAATGAATTTCATATGTATTTGTGGTTTTAATGTCATTGTTATCATTTATTTTGCTTATTAAAGAAATGTTTTGGAAATATATCTTATAATAAACACATAAAGTTGTGTGTTATAAATAAAATCAATTAATATAATCATCAAATAGTTTTATAGAAATTTATTAATAATAAATTGTTTAGTAATATAAATAATAAATGAATTTCATAAATTATGTTTTTTCTATAATATAATTTAATATTTATAATATTTTTACTTTTATGAGCTAAATTAATATAATAAACTTTATATGTGTTAGATAATCTAAATTATAAAATTGGGAAAATTACACAAAAAATAACTAATTAAATCTTATTAATGTTACAATTAATATAGTTTAAAAAAATATTTTAATATTTTAATAATAACACTTAATTGTAAATGTTAATCTTAATTTAATTTATTTTAAATGCTATATTTAACAATATTTTAACAAACTTTTATGAATATGTTTTTAGCACATAACTCGTTGAGCATAAAATAAAATATTATATAATTTATATATTTTTAAAGTGTTGTCTTATTAAAAGCTATTTAAAAGATAAAATATTTTGCCACTCGTATAACAATACTAAATGTAAGTCATAGAGTCTCACCTTATTTCAAGTTATATATACTGTAAATTTATATTTTATATAATGTATATATATATTGTACATACGATAAAACATTACACATGCAATACCTACAGGTGCTATTTCGTGTTAGATAACAGGACATACTTGTGCTATGTGTGTGCTATGCACTCCTAAAACTAATGAAATGAAATAACTTGTTTGACGAGTTATTATATAAAATATATATTTATAATATAATTTTTATTTTTCTCTCAATGACTTTGGCTGTAATATAACAACATTTTTCTTATATAGTAATCTCTGTGTCTAATCTATTGGTTTGAAAACATTTTTTTGTGATATGTTTTTCAAAAATACAACTTTTATACATAAGTGAATGATATAATAAAATAAATATAATAATAATAATAATAATAATAATAACAATCAATAAAAAACAAGAATAACTCTATTCACATGAGAACAGCCCTTCCCTTCAATAGCCAAACCCTTACAGCAATAACATGTAAGTGCTGTCTGTCTATATGTGTGTGTAAAATGATTGTTGTGTTTGTCTGTTTGGTTGTGCAATCAGTATAATCAACAATCAATGTGTTATAAATGTAATATAATTTTTCGTTGAAAATCTATTTCATTATATATTAATAATATATTTTTTGTTTGACTAAAAAATTTTCAATATTTTTTTATAAAATTTTTATTTGAACTATTTTTAAATAATATTTTTTTAAAATTTCTGTTATACGAAAAATATATATTTATAAATATTTTAAAACGATACTACAATAAAAGTGTTGTGAATTATCTTAAAGTGTAGTTTAAATTATGATAAATATTTGTTTTAAATTATAAGATATAAGTTAAATGTTTGGATATCTATTTATCATTTATTGGATTACTAATTAATATTTAACGGTAAATAAGTTTTAATAATATTAAAAATTATAAAAATTAAAATAATTAAACATTAATTATTTTTTAATATAATTTTTAAATAATAATTATATTTTTTGAAACTATAAGTTATACTAAAATGAAACAATGCTTAAAATGCAATTATTGAAATTAATTAATATAATTATATTTAAAACTTAATGTAAAATTATATAAGTTTTATCAATGTTTAATTGTTATTTAAAATTTATGGCACTAGTAAATGTGCATATTAATTAATAATATAATGTATTTTCAATTAATTATTATATATTATCGATTAAAATTATCAAAATAGATAAAATATTTAATCAAGATTATCAAATATACAGTATGAAAATATATATAATAGATAGTAAATACTCAGATATGATATAATATTTTTATAAAAATATGATAATAATGAATATCTTTTATTCTACAATTAATATAAAAAATAAAATTTTAATAGTTAAAAGTTTATATTATACTAATAACATGAATAATTTATTTATACAGTGCTTAATATTATAAATACTAAAAAATATTTTTTTATTTATTTATATGTTAACAAATATGATATATTTAGTAATTTTTCAGATATATTTATAAAACTAATTTTAATAATTTTAAATTTGCAAGGTAATGTAAAATATAAAGTAGATTATTATTTATTAGTATTAAAACTAATAACTAAAAAGTGTTTAATAAAAGATATTTAATTTGTGCTGTTAATAATAAACATTTTAGATAACATAGGATATATTTTATTTAAAAATATTATTTAAAATTTTTAAAATTATATATTTTACTAAATGTTTTTAGTAATTTAAAATTTTAGAAAAAAACTTTATATGCATGTAGTAGTAGWAGTATACAAATTAAATGATAAGTAAAACTAAAAATACATTTTTAACTTTTGGCAATAATAGAAAATTTTATGTTTTTTCCATATATTTATATTTGTATTATAAAACTATAGTCACTGTTGTAAACGCAATACTCTCATCAATCATGATATCAGTCATTGAAAATTCAGGTTAATTAGCCATTTATTGTGTGCACCATATCATCACTAAATATATGTAGACTTTATAAAAGTTCAGAACAACTTAAAAATTGTTTAAAAATATTATTTAAAACAATAATTTCTTAAATTGCATATTACAGTATCTGTAGTTATAGTGAATCTTACCTTAGATTAAATTTGTAAAAATATTGTTAATTTAAAAATAACTTTAGTAATACATTTGAATATTTGAATTATTTTTTTTTAAATATTTGCAAAAAAAATATTTATCTATAATTTTAAGTACGGTAATCAAAAAATAATATATTTGTAAATAAAATAATATTTCTTTTTTTTATGTACCAAAAAATTATTAATTACAACATATAATTTTATTTGTATAAAATGTGTCACAAGACATGCGGTCATTAAAATTAAACTGAATTTTTWAAAAAATGTTAACWTTTATGAATAATTTATTTAATTAAACTTTCATTTCTATTGTTCTAAAAGTGTAACTATCATTCAGTTGCCAATTAAGTTAATTTCAATTACAATATGATAACACTATTATAATTACATTATTTTATATAATAAAGTGCCAAAAAAACTTTCAATGATATACAGTTTCTCACCATTTAAGATATTAAATAAATATATAAATTAAAAAAAAATATAATTATATATAATTATAATAATAAGATTTATAAAGTTAATTAATGAAATCTGTAGTTTCATATAAATATATTAATATTTTAAGAAATTCTAGAGTTTAAAAAAGAAATATTATTTATGAAATTAATATTAAATAATTATATTGTTTTCTTGCCTACAGTAGTCTTATATACACAACAAATATATTGACATTTTTAGAGCATATTAAACTACAATTGATTATTTAAAATATAAATAACATTTATTTTAAATATAGTAAAAATTTACATATAGTTGATATGCATATTATGTAATACTATTTTTTAGTTTTTTAAAAATGTTCTATTTAATTTAAATCTATTCAATTTTATAAGAAAAAAAATTAAAAAAAATAAAGATTGTTTATTATACAGTATGTTTAAATATATTATAAAATAAGTTATAAAAGATTGTAATAATTTATTATATTTTTGCTTAATTGCATACATTAAATATTTATATAATTAACTTTAACAAAAAAGGTTATCTTTTATACAAAACACCTACAATTTCAATGATAGTTATGGTGTGTTGTTATGTWAGTAAAATTTAAAAATGTGTAATGAAAGTATTTATTTGTTAAAATGTATATGATATATTTATTTTAAAATACCATATTATAAATTAAAATTACTTAATATGTCAAATATGCAATTGAATTTATTTTTAATTATTTGTTTTAAGGCTGTATAAGGATAGTTTTATTTTATTATTTTTAAATACAATATAATTATTATWATAATTATATTCTRTAGTACAGTATATGACTCATACAGTATATTATATCATAAATTAAAATATATTTTATATACTGTATTATATACAGTATTATCATTGAATGATATGCTTTATGTATTCAATTTTGACACAGTTTTTCTCATATTTTGCTATGTTTTATGACAGTTAGTATTTTTAAATTTAAAGGTCATATTTTAACTTAAATTTATCTATATTTAGTAAGAAAAGATAAATTTTTAGTTCAAATGTTCAATTATGTTGATAATATATTAACTAATTAATTAAATTGTTTAATCTTACATTTATTTATGCATTTCTTATTTTTTATGTTATTAATATTTATTTATTTATTTATCAAATTATTAATTATTAATTATTTTGCTATTATTTAGTTTTAAAAAATTATTATATACAGTATAGAAATTTKTTTATATCATTATATTTATTTTATATAACAAAGATTTTTGAAAAATTTTTTTAGTAAGTTATATTTTTTAATATAATAAATCGGACACTAATTCAATTTATTTTTTTAAAATAAAATATTTAAGTGCATAAATACATATAAATAGGTTAATTTCAACMATTTATTATCCCTGAAGTTATTGATTCCTAAATTAACACMATTTTTTTGTTTTAAGATTTTATATAGGGTCACACTATTTGATAGCACTCGTTAACCACATATATCAATAATTTTCAATAAAAATAATAATAAATAATTATATCTTTAATAATGAGGCAACGATTTCTCATGAGAAACAAATTTATTGATATCATATAATGACAATTTAGTTTGCATTTTATAGTATTACTATTAAATACTTGTGGTACTAATAATACAGTATATTTAAGATATAAATAATATTATAATAATATAGTTTATACTGTATAACTTTAATATATTTATGCATATAATCAGATCTACTATATAATTGTATTTTTAAAGAGTTTCTGCGATATAAACGGAAATACCTAAATAATAAACTGAAAATAAAATATTAGACATAAATTTATTTAAAAATAAATACTATGAAACTATGAATACTATGTATATTCTTAAAAACATAATATATCTATGATATGATGATTATATGATATGTATATTACAATTATGGTTGGCCTCAATTAAATTTTTAGTTATCATTTCACACAATAACCATAATTTGTATGTATTGTACACAACAATAAGTTTCTATTTATGTTTTCATAAACAACAAACTTTATATAATAATAATAATACAGTATATAACATATATATAATTTATATACTGTATATTGTTTTGCTAGTTTCTAATTATATTTTTCAACAATTATCACAAATATATTATGATTGTACTACAAGTCATTCACATTTGTTTTTATTTAAAGAATAGTTTGAATGGTTTATTAATTATTAAATATTTAAATTTATAAAAATAATAATACATCTATTTTAACTTTATATAGACTTATTAAAATGTGTAATATTTTAAACAACATTTATGAAAAACTATTTTAAAATCAATTTTAAAATTACATAATAGTTAAAATATACAGTATATTTTTATAATATAAAAAATATGATTGGTTATTTATAATTCAAATGTTAAATTYAATGTAATTTAAATAATGAAAACATCGTTAAAATTATAAATATTTCCGCAAACATAGCTTTGACTCAAAAAATAAACTAAATGTCAGACTAGATAAATATTATATATTTTTTTGAATAGCATTTTATGCCTGCATTTTAATAGGTAAACCTGATCTACCGGTGCCCTTTTTAGATACTTGAGATGTTAGCTTTGAACATAACAAGTTTACACATACAAACACATACACAAGTGTCAAACTGCCGGCGCCAATATCCTTATCCTTTTAGGTAAATAAAATTTTCAATTTTCAAAATACACTAATCTTTTTTGGCAATGATTTAACATAAAAAACTTTAGAAAGACATCAAATAATAATAGGTTTATTAAACTTTGTAATTGTTTTTATAAACTAAAACCTTAAATAAGATTATATAAGACATAGACCAAAACAAACTATTATTACTATTACTACTATAACAAAAAATAAATCTAAACTTTTTTTTTAAAAAAATATATCTAAAAAATAGATACAAATAATTTAAAGTTAAAACAGTATAATTAAATTTTTTCGCACAAAAAAATCATTTACTCGATTGAAAAATTGTATTATTTTGTTGTTGTTGATTGTTTGTCGCTTATGTTATCACAATTGTTGTTATAATTATTAACATTGTTGTCGTTATTATTTATTATCAATGACTTTGAAAACAACAAATTGAGAAATAATATGCCCAACGATTGCACAGCGATTATAATGACAACAAAAATCATTACTTTTATTGTGTAAATATCCGTAAAACTGTATTATATGATAGTTAACCGTAAAACTGTGTATATTGTGTTAATGAATGAACCAATTAATAAATAATTTTTTTTTACTCAATTGACATTTCAAGTGTTGCATTACTGACGGCTTATTTCTTGACATAAATTTTAAATTTTAATATTTTTGCAAATATAATCAACATTTTAAAAAAATTTATTGCTAACCTTAAACAATAATATTTTCAAAAAAAAATCTATTTATAGACATTATATYTTAAATAAAGTAATTTTTAAATGTGTGTAAAAATCAATAGCTTTTTATAATTTATGCAATACTATTAATTGTACTAATTATAATTTTATTAAAATATTAATTTTACATATATATATTTTTTCCAATTTATATAGGATCAAGGAATACAAACAAAAATATGTGAATTTACCAGGATAACAGTTTTATTTTTAGTTTTAATTAAAAATAAAAATGCATAAAATACTTACATCTATTTGTGTGTTGCTGTTATGTGTCTCAATAATTATTGCTCAACAACATCATCATCAACAACAACATCATTATAAAAATCATCATTTAATTCATGAACTAAATGACCCAAATGAACATAATGTATGTATAAAGAGCTTATATTATTATAAAAATAATGTAATATATTTATGTTAAAATTCAAATTCAAATATCAATTATTTGATGCTTTTATCATTATATATATTAAAGTTTTTAATCTAAATGGTAAATATTATAATTTATAAGATATAATTATATTTCATTACATATTAAAATAATATGACATAATTTTTTTTAATGATTGGATTAGAAAAGTTTATTTTCAAAGATAAAAAAATTTACACGAAATTAGTTGTTTAATACAAAGAAAATGTACAGTAATTTTACATAATATACAGTCATTTACAATAAAGTAGTGTCTAAATTACCAGTGTCTATTATGTCGATCCAAACCTGATCCCTGTCCAGCACCAGCACCGGCACTGAGAATGCCATGAGCCCAACCACCTCTATTTCCACGACCCAATCCATTGTCGTTGTGTCTATCGTTACGGCTATGTCTGTCCCAATCATTGTTGTCGTGTCGGTCTCTTCTTTCATATCTTTGATGTCTATCGTGTCTGTCATTCCAATCCCAACCGTAACGGGTGTTCTCATCTCTATGTCTGTTATGTCCTCCTCTATGGTCATCCCGTGAGACCCAAACACTTACTGAACCRCCATTATGGTCGTCATTGCGATGATTTCGGTGACGATTKGCGTACACAACAGTGGCCAACAAAACTAAAGCTAACATAAACTTCATATTTGTATTATTAATAAACTGTTTTACTTAAAACACAAGTTTTATGTAAATTATCAAATGATTGTAATTATTTTGCAAATCAATTGATGCACTTATTTATATACAAATGTTACATTTGGGTGGGGGTTGTGATACCCTTCAATTTGTATTTACTTATTTATTATTAATTTTTTAATGTCCTTTAATTTATTGTTTTTTATATTTTTAATTAATTAATTAATYTATGAATTAATAAATGTATAACAGTACTCAATTCAAGTATATTACTAAAACGGATTATTACTGTATATTTACTATATTATATACAGTGTAAAATATAATCTTATCTTTATTTAATAAATTTTTATTGTTTATAATTTAATAGTGATTTTCTCAATAATTTTTAAAATTAATAAAAATAAATATTACGTATATTTATTTGTTTTTTAAATTTTGAAATATTGAGGTAAAAAATATAAACTAAATTTTTATTTTCATAGATTTATAAAATGATAGCAATTTGTAAAAAACACTTTTTTATTTTTATTTACACTTTCGCTTTTAATAACATTATACTTTAAAAATAAGTTTGTATATCAAATTTTTTATGAATATAATAGAACTATAAAACAATAAATACAGTATAAATATATTCTGGTATTGTATTATATGTACAATATTTTTATATATAGTACATCTAAATGTCTTATTGATATAATATCTGCAAAAAATAAAAAATAGTATTATACACTTAATTATTGTAATTAAATTAAATACTGTCAATATAAATTGAACTCTATTAAAAAAATATAGTTCAATATATTATATAATGAATGCTATATTTATTTAAAGGACTAATAATTTATATTATTAATAAGTATAAAAATATTGATATCTTAGCTGTAAATCATTAGAAATCATACAATAATTTATTTCTGTTTACAAAATTAATGTATATMTGATAGAATAATTTTTTKTTGTTGATGTATACAGAATATTACTTACAATTACTGTAACATTAAATTTATTATACTATATATTTTTTAGTATATTTATGAATTGCTAATTTGTTASAATATATTATGGTATATAATGTTAATATTAATATTGATGTCTACACTGTTGATCTACAATATTAATTATTAGGTTATAAAGTTATAAGTTGTCATAAATTGCTACTCAAAGTGACATTTTATATCTACATTAAATTAAAACATGTACACTGTACACATTAAAATTTTTAAATATACATTTATCATTTTTATAATCTAAAGTTTGTGTAAAAAACATATTTTAAAATAACAATTTATTTAACGCTAATAGATATATCTTTTACAATTATAAATGATAATTATCAAATTTAAATCTGAAAATTTTTATTTTGATTTTATTATACAATACATGAAATTTATATGTTTTATATACAGTACAAAAAATTATTAATATCAATACAATATAGGGTTTGCTATAATTATTTAGTACCATTTCTTTTGCGATCCTCTATCCATACCGGAGCCAATACCAGCACCGGCACCACCACCATTGCGTATAACACCACTTTTCAATTTAATGATACCCCAACCACGATTATGACCGATGCCAGGTTTACCATTTTTCCAGTCTAGTCCTGCACCCAATCCAGCTCCCAGTCCAGCACTTARACCGGCCAGTCTATCGTCTCCCTTGTCGTTCCAGTCATTATCCCAGTTTCTGTTCCATCCYTTTCCCAATTGTCGGTTCCAATCATCTGACCGATCATTTTTCCAGTCATTATCGTTATCCCAACTGTCCCATCGCACTAATTTGCGATCCCAGTCGTCATTATCCTCCCGACGACCGTTCCATCGGTCATCACTCCAGTCACGACTGGACAGTACTGTTCCGGCAAATAATAGACTTAATATTATTGATTTCATTATAATTTTTCTTTGAATTCAATAATTAATTTCWAAATATTAAATTTAATTTAAAGTTTTACAATAATTTAACCGATATTTATATAAAATATTTATGTTATTCAATTTTCAATTGCAAGGTTAGTTTTGTAGCAATAAAAATTATTACCGATTAATTTATTTATTGATAATTTTTATTGTTATTTAATATTATTAAAGTTTCAGTTATTTATAATAAATAAATTTTAATAGATTATTGAAAAAGTTATATTAAATTAATAAAAATATTTGTTATTTGGTTAAAAAGTTTTGAAATTTGGGTGTTAATGAGGTTAAACATATGTGAAGAAAAAAATTTAAAAATAAAAATGTGATTTCATTGATCTTAATTTAATAATCAATTTAATGTTATTTAATATCACATTTGATATATTTTTCAAATTAAATAATTAATAGTTACTTTATAACAGTAAAGTCAAAATAGATGTAATTTAAAGTTTCTAAAAATTATTTATATTTTGTATAAACAGTATAATAATTAGTGCATCATAAAATATTTATTTAAAAAATTGAAATTATTCAATAAAATATTTACTAAAAACTACCAAAATATTTACTTAAATATTAATTATTTTTTATAAATAATCATTTATTAGTAAAAATATATATTTAATCAATTTGTAATTTATTCTAATATCTATTTAAATTACAATTAATAATAATGTATAACAGTATTACAAATTGATATCATATTTTTATTAATAAAAGGTAAAAAATACACATAATTTCATTTTCAAACTTAATAACTAATACAACAGAATAATATAATTTTTACTAATTGATTGCATTCACATGTTTAACACAACTAATGCTTTTTTGTCTAATATTTTTGGTAATTTTTATATCATTTATTGTTATTTGTATATATTTACTGTTCGTTAAAACTATAACTTTAAGCAAAAACTCTGCTATATTTAGTACTTTATAATCTATTTTTACGGATTTAAGATATAATATTTAATTATATTTACTAAAAACACAAAATATTTAATTAAATATTTCTTATTTATTTATCACCAGAATATGTATTATTTTTAATTAAATATTTTTAATTTAATTAAATATATTTTGATGAACTAATAATAATATAATTAGTTTTAATATTATAATATTCAATAGTTAAATGTAGTTATTTTATTGTTAAACTTTAAAAGTTAATAAAATAAATCATTAAATTTAGAAAATATTTTATTTAGAAACAAAATAAAAAACAATAATTGAGCAAATTTTGACAAAAATACTTTACTTCAATTTCAATTGTGTCTTAAAATTTTTTAACAAATAATTTTAAAGAAAACAAACATTAATTTAGACAAAAACATAGACATATATATATAGCTTAGATTGTTATAGCTTTGCTTTTAGTAATGACCCCGATTTTCATGACTTCTGACCAAGATAACTTTTCCGTGTCCCCAACCTCCACGGTTACCATTATCCCATCCATTGTGTCCATTGTTGTTATTGTTGTTCCATCCATTGTCTCCGTGACGGTTCCAGTTGTTGCCTCCTCTATGACCATTATCGTCGCGGTTGTCCCATCTATGGACACTGGCGTGATTGTTGCCCCAATTGCCGTTACCATTGTCCCATCCACGGTTATTACCATGGTTGTCATTGTGTCGACTGACCAAAATATATTTGTTAGCATAGACTGTGGCACACATAGCCAACAATGCAATGACTACCAAGAATTTCATGATTACAATTGGTTTCAAATTAAAGCTGTTTTACACAACAAAGTTATTATAAAACTACAAAAGTCTGATAGATTGTCACCAAAATGATCAGCTCTTTATATACCCAATTCTTCAATTGTTTTACTACACCTTTTTACATGTTATTTATGGCATTGTGCCCATCGGGTGGACACTTAAGCCAATATTAACTAATACCGGTCCTAACATTTAGAGGACTGGGATAGTCGTAGAGTTTTATTTGTTTTTTTTAAATATATTTAAAATATATTCTGAAGGCTAATATTGTGAATAATATTAATGTATAATTTTTTTTAATTATCAATATTATAATAAATAGTGCTTAATTTATTCATGATAATTTTTATGATCAAAATGGAAATTCAATATTAATTTATAAACAAATGTATTAAAAATTATTGTTTTTAAATAATTAAAAAATTGTATGATTTGCATAAAAAATAAAAAATGATATATATAATTTATCTCTCATATTTTGTTTTTATGCAAATCGTACGACAATTTTTTTTATTATTTAAATACATTAATTTTTTATAGTATATTTATAGTTGAAATAAAATAAAATATAATAAAAATTATTTGAATGTTAATTTTGCAAAAAATAACAAATTATATAAACTACATTTACAGAAATATTTCCTAATATAAAATTATTTTTTTTTAGATTTTTTTAATAATACAAATTTATATATATTTTTTTAAAGAAAGGAGTGTATCATATATTTTAAAAATAAATAAAAATTTGTTTATGAATAGTTTTAAAAATATTTTTGAGTTATAATTTTTATAAAATGTAGAGTATTATGTATGTAATAAATTTTTTTAAAGTTTAGAAACAAAAAAAATAATTATAATTTTTGTTATAGATATTTAAAAGGGTCAATAATATTTTAATATTTTGCATATTAACTTTATGTAAACACAATTAGTGTGATCAAGGTTAAAATTATCTTCACCTAAATCATTTAATATTATTTTTTGGTGTATTTCTAATATTTTTCAAGGCTATTGTGGGTATTTTCTTGTAAACCAATAGTGGTTTAATTAATTTCAATTATTGTTTTTAATAAATATAAATATTGCTTAATGTTTAGATAATAACCTCAAATTTCCCAAAATTTACAGTTTTTGATAATTATTCAATAACTATTTTCTGTTAATTTTATTATTATAGTAATAATTAATTTTAAAATGTTTTTTAATTTATATAATTATTATAATTAAACATATTTGATTTTATACTAATAATATAATACCGGTATTAATTATTTAAATTAATAAAGCACAATGCATTTAATTTTACAATATAATCTAATTAATAAAATAAATAATTGATACAATTACATATTATAAATGCAATTTTTTTATAAAACTTCAAATACAATTAATATATTCAAACATAATATATATATATATTAATAGATAAGACCCGGTAATGATCTGATAGTTGGCGACGAGTCAGCAGTTGATGATGAAGAGGACAGTAATCAACGCAAGAAGCGGTTCTATACTGACAAACAACAGTCGCCAGAGTTTCTCTATTTGGAGAGTCGGGACGGACTGGTATTGGGTGCCAGTCTTAACGTACACCACTCGTCGCCGCGAAATCCGCTACAATGCGGTCAAATCGATACCATGCATGGCGTCCAACACGTCGAGGCGTTTCTCTGGGCCTACGATATGATTCAATCGCACCCACAGATACTGCCCGGTGTAGAGTTGGGTGCAGTCATACTCGACACGTGTTCGTCACACCAGAAAATAGCTCGAGATGTCAGCAATTTTTTCAGCAATTCTTTGGCCAGTGAAGAGCACCCGAATCTGCCGGCAGCTGAAACAGTGGTCGGCTTTGTTGTGGATGGTATGCAACTGTTATTACWATTAATTAGCTTTATATTGATTTTATGGACAACTTTTAGGTGATAACTCTAAGATTGTGGACGCGGTAGTAGACGTTACAAATCCTTTTGACATAACAACAGTTGCCATTCAGTCTCGTGATTCCAAATATAATAACCGATTTGATTATCCATTACTATTACGTCTGTCCACACCTAACGATGTATACGCCGACACTATTATCTCACTATTGGTCAGATTTTTGTGGCATTATGTGTCCGTTATTTATGAGTCTACACCACAAATGCTTGATATTTATCGAGAATTAAAAATTAAATCAAACTTTTTGGGGATTGAGTTCTCATTAGAGGAAGAAATAGGTTTGAGTAGTGACGGGTACGGAGCGACTGGACATTTGGGATCGACTATCTCTCGCATTAAACGCAATGCCAAAAATGGAGCCAAAGTTGTCATATTATTGATGAACAACGACCAGATTAGGCGGTTATTTCACGAAAATAAAAACCTACCGTCAGATCAACAGATCAGAGTCGGAGATATTCAGTGGATATCGATTGAAGGCCGCGAAGTGTTTCCCGATTATACTGACGAATCCTTAGGCGTACTGACAATAACATCACAGATACAACCGTCCACTGCTTTTAGATCTTATTTTACGAATTTATCGCTAATAAACAACACAMGAAATCCTTGGTTTAATGAGTTTTGGGAAATATTGTTCAACTGTAGGGGCGATCAGTGTCTAAATCACGGGGTCAGCCAACAAATGCCGCCCGATATCGCCATCGATAGGGACACATCATTAACTATTAACTCTTTGTTCGCGTTGGCCAACGCTTTGGAAATGACTCGACGGACACTGTGTCCAAAAACACCGCGCGGTTTATGTCCAGAATTCAGACGACACCCGAAATTATCGCGTATTGTTTACGATATGGCAAAGAGTTCAACGTTTTTGGGTAATATTAATATAATATTTTCATAACAAATGTCTTATTATAAAATTATTAATAAATTCATTCATTTAATTATTATTATTTTTTGGACAGCATTTGATAACCGGCACATGATATTTGATCCCGAAAATGGTTATGTCATTTCACCACTTTTTATACATAATTTACGGTTAATGAGCCAAAAATCATTGGTCAGTCATACTATACACACTTCTATAGTAATGCTAATCTCGTTTAATAATATTGTTTTTAAATCATAGGTTTGGCATAATGTCGGTGTTTTTACAGCACATGACGGCCTATTCATAAATGTGACAAAAGCCAGAGCTTATAATACCAGTGCAAATGAGATACCGTTGAGTCAGGTCAAGTCGGTTTGTAATGATAGCGAGTGTTTGCATATAGTGTCCGAATCTAATGCCGTGCAACCAATTATGTCGATCACACCAATAGGCGGTTTGACTATTGGCGCTATAATGCCTCTGCATAAACATGGATCCAGTGGTGATCTTTTTAATTGTGGACCTATTGATAATGGTATTTATCATTTAATATATAAATTATATTACTGTATAAATGTATATATAATTATTTTATTTTGTAGATATGTTTGAAAATCTTTTGGCATTTAGTTATGCAATGGATGTGATTAATAAAAACCATTCAATATTACCAAACATAGAGTTGGGTGCAGTTGTCTTTGATGACTGCGAGAATCGGGAGAGAGCTCAGGAGAGATTAATCACATTTATGAGTGGATCGTTACCTATGAATAAGATACCGCCAAAGACATTGGTTTCAATGATCACATATTCAGAATCGGCACAAAATGTAGATAACATTCTGCGAGACAATAAAATCATTCATTTGATGGCGTCGTCATCATTGGTTCAAACATCTCTATCACCGACGACATCCACAATAACACCTATAGGTCAAAGACAAGAGCGYAAACTCAATTTAGGTGGTGCTTCTCCAGCTAAACGATTGGAGATACAGGCGCTCATCAAACTRATCTCTGACCACAACTGGAGTTTAGTTAATCTCATTTATTCGGACGAGTTGTCTAAGAATTTGTTTGTCATTTACGCCAACAAATTGAAGGTTTGCGTTGACTTTATGTTTGCCATTAGTGAGGATATGACCGCCGATGACGTTCGCAAAGTGATGACAACTATTAGTGCCAAAAGCGAGAGTAAAGTAGTTGTAGTTTTGGGCAATAATACAAATGTTAATACAGTACTAATMAAAAATGCTCCTGGTAGTCTCATTAAAAAGTATGTCATATTTAACTAATTAATTCAATTAAATAATTATCAATACAATAGTCAATATTATCTAATTAAACCTCTAATTTATATTAGCTTTATATGGATTGGCGGTCACTCATGGATGCAATCTATGAACAAAACACGTATTAGTAATAACAACACTAACAGCAACAACACGTCTATCAGCACTCGGCTACCGATGAACTCAATTTGGCTTCAGATGGAGTCATATAGTGATCCACAGTTTGCCAAATACTTGTCGCGTATATCGCCGACTGAACAACAGTTGATACCAATGAATTGGTTGCATCAGTATTGGCAGCAAAGGTTTGGCTGCCATTTACCACACTCTCCCGTCACTGATAACCGATATGAACACATGTGTACTGGAGATGAACACATCATTTATAAGGATTTTATACATTCACCTCATATTCAGCGGACTATTGCTTTGGTTAACGGTTTGTTTTTTTAACAACTTTTTTATTGTTTAGTTTTTCAATGAAATAAATTTATTGTAAATTTGCATATTTATTAAAATATTTTCTGAATTTTAAGTTTTTATTTTTTTTATATACTGTTTTATTAGATTTTTGATAACATTTCCATAAAATATTAATATTAGTTATTGAAAAACAAAAATTACTACCTATTTTGGTTTAATTAATTTTGCGCTCAATAATTATCTAATAGTTATAGTATATTTAAATATTTTCAACTTTCATTTAATAATAATAATAATATTGAKTTAAAATAAATATACTAAAAAAATTAAAATTTTATTTGATATATAACAAATTTACAAAATTATTGTATTTAAAAAATATTTTAGGAATAGCAAATGGGTTGAAACGATTTTTAACAGAAAAGTGCAGCAAAAATATACATTTGATGGAAACCATTGACGACTGTCCCGATACCAGTAGACAAATACTAAGTGAATATGTAATGAGTGAATTGAAATCACTTAATGTATTTGACAACATTGACAAACAAAATGATATACATTTTGGTGACAACTCATATACATTTCATGTGTGGAAACGTATCAATGGCTCTAAACCTATACTATTGGTAGACTTAACGCCCGATTCTCTGAACAGCATCTCTAGCAGCGCATCCTTAACCTCAAGTAATATCAAGAATGACTTTCCTAATGTTAGGGCCAAATGTGTCCGCAATTGTGATAAATGTGTTGAACAATTTGAGACCAGTAGTGAACAACTGTTAACTTCGGAAAATCAATGGCGACCACAAATGGTAGTTCAATTGAGACGCACCTGGAGTTTACTGGTTGCCGTGCTATCGGCACTCGGAGTAATATCGGTTCTTATATGTGTCGTGTATTTTTTGCTGGTATTCCCAGTAGCTGTCGGTACAACAGTAGTTGGCTATCAAATATTGTTTGGTCTATTTATAGCTTTTTTGACAAATTTTGTATTTTTAATACCCGTTTCTATAACTGTTTGTGCGCTCAGAAGAATAGGTATTATTTTTTTATATATATTTTGTATTATTGTTAATCTACTATCATATTATATAATTGATGTATACATACACATGTATTTATTGATTATAATTATAATTAATATTATTTTACACATAGGATTGTCAATTTCATATACAATAATCATAAGCGGATTACTTGTCAAAGTGTTAAACACATGGCGACTAATGATACTTAAAAATCATTCACAACCGTTACGATTGTCATCTCCCACAGCACTTGTATTCATTTCATCGGGACTGGTATTCCTACAGTTAATACTGACTACCATTTGGCTGATCAGTTACCCACCACATCCCGGTCTATATGAAGGGATTTGGAAGTGTTCTTCAAATAAATCGATAGTATTGTTTGACTCTGAGATAATCGTATCACTTCTCTATGTCATACAACTGCTCCTTATAAGCATATTTTTTGCTGCCCTTACCTGGAAATGCTACGATCAGAATCGTGAGCCCCGTTGGATAATGGCTTGTGTCCTATCAACGGCAGTCATATGGTTAACTTGGCTTCTCCTATCTGGTAATAATAATAATAATACATTATTTTTATATATAGTATAAAATGTTATAGTAATTACAATTTTATTATTTTGATTGAATAGCCGGTACTTCCGACAGAACCCTATCCATAATATGTGCCAATTTAGTGAACGCATTGGTGATAATGTCATTACTTTATGTGCGAAAACTTTATTTATTTACGAAGATTTCACGTAAAATACGTAAAGAGAGACAAATTAAGGAACGCCTACAACACGAACCRTTCGCTGACAGACAACAACAGATCTATGGAGGTATGTCTTCGTTTGTTTATATTATATCACATATTAATTGTCTAATTCAATGTATTTTTTGTTAGCCTTTAAGACGGGGACAATCAGTGGTCACATTGACTGGATGTCCGAAGTGGACGGTTCTCAGTTGCGAAGTGCGACCCGACCGCCATTTGATCGCGATTACAACGACGACAACATATCGAGTTGCGGTTCCGTGAAGTCCGCGGCCTCGGCTCAGGTCCAGTGCCACGACTTGTATCCAATGGAGGTCTACGACGGCGGCTCACAGTTTGCGCCAATGAGTTCACTGTTGTCGCAGTCAAACAAATCTATTTATGGTATCATCGATGACACCAATACTACCACTCATTTTAAATGATTTTTTTATAAATATTTTTAATTATAAAATATATGATATTGTGGTTAAAAAAGTTTATTTTTTATTACAGTTTWTGTATATATACAGTAAATATTTTATGGTGTTTTTAAATTAAAATTATTATTTATTAATTTTTAAAATGTATAAAATATTTTTTTAAATTTAATTTATAATATTTAATATAAATAAATTTACGGATTAAATCTGTGTTTTAATTGCAGACAATATTTAATAATAACATTTATAAAGTTATAGGTTATTTTAAGTTTATAATTTTAAAATTTAGGTAATTTAATTTTAGTTATTATTAGTTTTATTGTATAAATCCATTTATAGCTTATATATAGTCAAATTTCRTGAGAAAATATTGTGATAAATTTGTAAGAAAACACATTTATTCGTTATTTAAAACTTATTTTATATATTAAATGTATAGTATTTTGTTTGCGTTAGCGGTTTCTAATAGACTTTCTATAATAAAAATAGAGTAAAGATAGAGTCAGGAGGTTTGCAGGGGTTGTTGTCTGGCAGTGGCTAATAGTATTGGGAATAGGAATAAATAGGAACGGGAGGTATGGATAAAGATTAGAGATTTATTAGATAAAAAGGATGTTTTTATAACTTGAATGAAATGCAGGGAAATGAGAGATTGTGTGTTTCTGTTGGAATATTTTGTGTGTGTTATGAAAATTACATAATAATGTCTTTTCAAAYGAAATTGAGAATCGAAACTGTTTGGCACTAATAGTACTAAAAGGACAGTTGTCTTCACAAACAATCCAATGATAAATGTATTTTATTTCCCGAAAAGACTACATTAACAATGTGTTGTCTGATTCATAAATAAATATATMGCGAATYAAATATATATTTTGACAAACTTTGAGCCATAACTTCAAGAYAATGAGTTTAACTTAACATTAAATAGTATATCATTWGATAGTCAAAGTCAGATCAAWCTGTATAAACTGATGACCAGAGATACTAAGTTTTATATAATTGGTTCACAAACTAATAATGTATTAATTTATGATCAGTSAGATAATGATTGTTTTAATAATTGTGTAATCAAAGCTAATGTTCCCCAAATGTACAGCTAAGTCAACCTAAACCACTTMATGAATATTGTRGTAATAKTGTGGGACTTAGTAGTTGTAGTTTACGTGAAATAATTGACTGGAAARTAAAGCGAATACCCRTTGGGTAYTACCAAAACCACAACACAATAAAATATCAAATTAAATGAAAACTTTTAAAATAWAAGACAGTGTYGTGTTAATAATATTAAACAGTTTAGAAGTTAAGATATATTATAATAATAACAGTAATGGCAAAAATCTAGTTTTTACAATAGTTAAGTTTTTATTATATAAATATCATTTAGTGATTACTTGTAATTTTTTGATATTTATTTTTGAAACAATCAGTTATAATAGCCAAATAAATTAATTTTTYTCTTAAAATATATTTTCACTATATATTATATATATATATTCACTATATATTTAAATAAATATGATTGATAAAGTATTATCTTTATTTTTTAGACTAATATTCTAAAGTAGTTTTTTAATCATTTCCATAATTTAATATATTTATATTGTTATATTATTACAATTTGTAATTTACAAATCTGTGACTATTTTTTAAATTATTAAATACTTTAYTTAAATATTGACTTATTTTTAAATTATAATAACAATTCAAATAAATATGATAAATTTATTAATAATTTTTAATGTAATAGGAAWTACAATTATTTTRAATACTGTATTACATAATATTATAAAATATGTAACAAATTATTAAATTGCAAAATATTTAGACTTTAGGTAATCCGGCATTTATTCTGCTCTCAAATCCGCACTCATTATTACCTCTTCGGACTTTGAAGAAGCCTTTTTCACCCCAGTCTTCATTCCATGAGTTGGCCACAAGCCAGTAGTCTTCACCGTTATCAACGCCCCAACCGACGATTTTGACGGCATGTCCACCGGCAGCGTCACCGGTCACGTGATGATAGACACCTGATTTATAGGTCAGGAAATCTTCATAAACCTATTAAATTAAACATTTAATTAGTTTATTATAATTTATACTATAATATACAAATTATTTGTATAGTAATACAAACCGTGAAACCGGCACTAACGGGTCCATTGGTCATAATTTCTGTTTGTATAGCTTTTGCAGTTCTGGATACAGCGTATGCTTTTGAACCGTAGTGTTTGTCGTGAGTATAGCTAACATTATAGCCGGTTCTACACTCCTCGTGACATTCGGGTGTTTCCACAATTGTTTTACTGCACGGCGGGTAGTGGCCAGTTGTGTGATGTTCGCACGCGGCTATAGAATAGGGTTGACAACCCTTTTTGCTTTGATAAAGACCACCACTTACGAGACCATCGCTTACGTAGTATTCCCACGCGCTCTCAGGCATACCACCGTTACAGCCGAAGCCACACGAGTCACAACAGGCCAACAGGTTCTCTGCCGATATCTCCACCTGTTGTTTGGCTTCCGATGCGACACATATGCGGTCAGAGATGGCTTCAACCACTGCAAAAGCCCAACACGAACCTAATGTTATTGATTTAAAATAATAATATCTTTTTACTTATTAATCATTAATTAATAGATTATCAATACTGACCACAAGATCCCTGATCTCTGATCTCTTTAATACTTTGACATTTTGGCCATTTATCTCTGGAATCAAATGATTCGGGTATTTCTATGTTTTCATAGTCTGGTTCCGGTTGTGTCTCAAGTATTTGTTCTTCGAGTGGCAAAACACCTAATTTGACCTTAAGATCATCCAATTTAAAGTCATTGTCGTAATATTTGCCAGCCTTTAACAAACAATTAATATTATAAATATTTTCAGTGTTATTGTTATTYAGTTAAGTAATACTAACTGTCCACGAGTTTTGAACTTTGTTGATATAATCTATCATTTGATCCACATTTTGGTGTTTAGTCGGTGTTTGCAATGAAACACCAATTAAGATGTTAACTATAATAATATTAAACAACATTTTTTAAAATTATAATATTTATAAAATTAATACTTAAAAATAAAACTATATTTATATCCAGATCTACTTATATGACATTTAGAAAACTTACCCCATATGTTGAATAATCATTATATTGTTATCATAATTAATTTACTTAACCTTGGTTAATTATTTTATTTTAAAATTCTTAATTAATATTGTGATTAAACATTAATAATTATATACTGTATGTTATAAATATTTGTTTTACAATTTATCATTTTTTAACTATATTGAAGTACTTAAATGATATATTTGTAAATGTATACTGTATCAATTTATAAAAAACAACAATTTTGTATTTGTAAATTAAAACATTTTTATGATAATAAAAACAATTAATTCTATAAAAAAATTTAAGTWATATTTAATCAACAATTTTCAATATAGTTATAATTTTAAAAATAGTTTTAAATATTTGTATTAAACTTTGAACACAAATATGCCGATACTTTTATCCCACTATTTCTAATTGTATATCATATACACCGACAGCATATCCATAAATATACTGTACATTAACTTTTAACATTTATTTTTGTTTAACAATTTATAATTAAATACATTGACAAAACATATACTGTAAACACATATACATAGATATATTAATACAATGCAAAATCAAACAATAAACTATAATTTATGTTAAACTGACCCCACTATATGTTAATCAATTGATAGCTATTTTTGTATAAAAATGAGATGACAACCAGTGATCGGTTTAACTYCAGTTATTGCATATCAAATATACTGTACACACATTATACTGTATTTTGATTTTAAAAGTTTTTATTAAATAAAATAATTTTTTTAATTCAAATAAGTTTKAATAAATTAATGATAACTATTCAAACAAATAAACTACAGTCTAATTTGACATATATATATATATATATATATATATATATATATATATATTATATAATTTTCTAAAAATTTCATACAATTTTAAATAATACTATCAATAATTATTGAATACAATTATAGTACTAAATATAGTGTATTCATAAAACTAAATAATTGATAATACAATATATTTAATATTTTATATAACATTTACATTTAGTAAAATTTATTAAATTAGTAAAAGTTAATAAAACAGTTGAGCAATAATTAGGAAATATTAAATATATATAAAACCTTTTGCTTTTGTTATAATCAAATATTAAACAAAACAGATAAACATATTGTATATTATAAGTATTGTACAGTACTATACAAATAACTTTTGTAACACAATTTATACGATATCTTTCAATAATCTGTTACATATTTTATATGCAGTATTAATATTGACAAATAATTTTCATTATAACATTGAAAATAAGTACATGTGTCATAAATAAATTCACAATAATATTAATAATAACATTTTTACAATAATGATATAAAGTATAGAAAAATTAATTTTAAGCAAATATCGATAAAGTAAACCATTAGATATGATTAACTATAAATTTATTAACAAATAAATTATTATTGTTAGGATATTATGCAATATTTATGACTAAGTATAATAAATATCATAAATTTTTATCAAATATCATTTTATAGATCACTACTACTTTTGATATAATAAGTTAAAATTAGTAAATAATAATTATTATAGTAAAAAATAATAGTAGACTATAAAAATAATAATGTTTTAAGTTGTAATTACTATATATTAATAATTACAATATTTTTAAAATATAGTAAATATGTCTTATATTATAATTATTTTATTAGCATTTATTTTTCAGTTTAATTTTGCAATTAGCGATGTCTGTCCCGATAAAAGTGTTATAAATCCGTGTAYGTGTCATATCATCGACAGTAAACGTGATATTATTTGTGAAGATATTGAAAAGTCAATTGATTTAATAAATATTTTTAATAAATTAAGCGAAAACATTGGTGACAAACATTTTGGTACATTTACTCTACAATTCATTGAAATTGAGAAATTGCCGAAAAATATGTTCAAAGAAATAACATTTGAAAAAATAAAATTATTATATTTGCGAAATAAGGACATTGTTATCGATAAAAATGCATTCAGTGGTCAACAAAATACAGTAAAAAACGTAGAAATTAAAAATGATAAAATTGGTTTAAAATTACAAACTTTATTACCGGTTATTAAAACATTAAAATCATTGAAATCATTGATAATTTCTGATTTTTCTGGAGTTTCATTAGATGCTAACAGTTTTGGTTCAACTGATTTGATTGAATTGGAGATTCTTGACTTAAAGTTATTTAATGATATCAAAGCTATCGGTGCCAATGTCTTCAAAGGATTGACATCCTTGAAGACACTGAGCATTGATGGGACTAATCCGTTGCAGTCATCAATAGGCTCGCATGCATTTGCCTTATCAGCCAAACAACAATTGGTAACCGATATTACTCTAACTATAGATCCCTTTATAGACGAAGCACTGACTAACAATAGTTTTGCTGGTATTGAACGACCCGTTAGACTAACATTGAGACATCAAACTTATTATTTAAATGAAATAATTTTCTCCAAATTTTTTCAAACAAATATTTTAAACACTTTAAATGCGACAATAAATTGTGATAATTGCAAAAATTATTGGATTAGTGATGATATATATAAAGATCAAGTAAATAGTATTGTTTGTTATAATGGAGACTCAATTTATAGTGACAACAGTTTCAAACAATGTAAACATGAGAGCGKTTCGACACCAARCAGTCAACACAACTATTTTATATCATCTGAAATCTATTTTATTAATTTTATCGCTACTATAATTAGTTTGTTWTATATATTAAGGTTTTAAAAAAATATTAATTAATAATAATCTATAAAAATAAAATTAGCCTATTTTATAAGTGAATTTAAATTTATTTTGTTTTGATATATAATATAATATATTGCTATAATAAATTATATTTTAATAATATGTCTAATAATAAATATAAGAATAACAATTAAATACATTTAYATAAACCTKGTCAACTCCTGTTATTATATCTTATCATAACTTACTATTACTTTAGTATTTATTTAGTTTAAAACTTTAGTTTGTAATCTAWTGATATAAAACGTAACAAAAATATTAATTAAAAATATATGATCATAAACATAATAAATATTTAATTGTTTAATATTAAGTAATATAAATAAATATTAGTGTTTATTATACCATATATGATAAGAATAGTCTTTTTATAAAAACATTTTGATATAACAAATATACTGTACTTAAAGTTATGACATTTTTCCAAAAGATTTTTTTAAATTTCAGTAATAAAATTCTTTAATTTTTTGAAAATATTAAAAATATTTTATTTTCATTCCATAAAATTAAAATAGAAAATATTTTTTATATTACAATAAAAAAAGCATAAAAACTAAACCACTTGAGAAAGTAAGAACATGAMATGACATTGACATTAGATAAAAATATTTAATATAAATAATAATAGTTATATGTTTTTACTTAAACAAAATYTTTATCAYAAATATATTTTGTTTATTAGATATGTTGTCCACTATAGCGATGATTATCAATAGTTAATGAATTTATTATGGCTTTCCTTTCTTTCAAATGTTTAGTTGATTTATAAAAAAACTAATACTTTATAGAATTCAAAGTTTAAGACTTCAAAAGCACTAATTAATACAATTAACTGATTTCAGAGTCGGATAATGTCTTGAAAACATTAGCTTATAATTTATGAGTAAGTGTTTCATCAATAATATGTCCACCAATGGACTATTGATGACAACAGTCTAAATATGATGATCTGATTGGTAGCTATTGGAGTCATGAACGTCGATATGATTCAGTATAAAATCAACTGTTAATGAGATCCAGTTTTTAAGAGATCCACTCATTTGATGTACTTTTATATGTTTTCTCTATTGAATATACTGTATTATTAGTTATCTAATGATAATTTTTTTGTATTTCAACCATTTATTTTAATCAAACAAAGTTTACATATTTAATCAAATCAAGTGCCCATTGACTGCCAAAAAACTATRAACACCTAAGACTAGTGTGCACTGGAACTCGACTGCATCAACAAAACTACAGTACAATGTATTATACAATAATAATAACTATAAAACTAAATATAACTGTATTATACAAATATAACAAATATAATTAGGAAAATTGTCTTAACTCTAATTGTATTAAACAGCGAGTTCTAAATTTTAGGGAACATAATAAATGTTAAATTTTTTATTATATGACAATATTATATTGATTATACAGTACTTTATTATATACTGCATAATAATAATAATAATATTTATTACTAGATATATGATAATAAATTTGATAAATACAACAATAAAATAATATTATGTTTAAAATATTAGGGTGTATTTGTCAATTATAGAATAACTTTTATTATCATATTTTCTAATAATACTATTATGTTATATATAGTAGATTACAAAATAAACATTTAATTAATTATATTTTTACTATTACCTTAAATACTAAAAATCTAAAAAGCGATGCTAAATATTGATATAAACTTTTTATACTCTAAAATTGTAACACAAAGTCCTAATATATTAATCATATTATTAAATAAAGTGTTTTTTAGTAAAATAGCAAATATTTAATCAATGATAATAATACAGGAAAAACAATTATACTATAATTTGCAAATTATATATTTATTTGTTAATCATTTAGAAGAATACAAACTGACATCTTATGATCTAAACTTCATAATCTAAACTATTGTCTTCACTTAACAATCATGTAATTGCTTATTGCAAATGTAATAATTATTATTTTACACAAATATGCATTAAAAATAATTTATGTAATTTGATTTAACTTTTATAATAAACTATATATACATATAAAATAGGACAATATGGGACAAATGTTTCAATTTACACATACATGTAGTAATAATCAATAGATATTCAAAAATTTAAATAAACAAAATTAATTGCAATAACTGTAGAAATGATTGATTGATTTATAGTCAACGAATACTTTACATGTCGTATACATTAAGTATAATAAAAGACAAGTCATTTACGAGTCGTTTTGCAATATTTGTGAACAAAGTCCATAAAAGCACAAAAATTATGCTTTAAGTGTAAAACAAACTAAATATATATTATTTAATATTATATAATTTTTATTTAGATTATATTATAATAAAATATGTCTTAAATTATTTATATAGTAATCTAAATATTATAGATTTAATATATTATATTTATTTACGTCAATTCATTATATTTATAGTTCCTAAACGTTTATGTTAAAATTATTTTAAAACTATTTTATTTTATTAAAATTACTTTATGCTAAAAATTAATTAAAGATATAATTTAATTAAAAATTTAAATCAGTTATATTATATAAAAATTATTTATCATTTTTTAATAAAAGAAAATCAATTCAATATTAGAATAATTAATATCTATATAAATAAGGATATAATTTAATAGTTTCTAATTAAAAAATTATATGGTTTTGTTATTATCTTTAGTTTAATCAATCTATTCATTCAATATATATTTTATGTTACATAACAATACAGTTTCAAAAGTAACACTTAATCTTATCAAATATTTTATTGAGCTTTTATAAAAAACAAATCTATTGGTAATATTTTAKTTACAATGCTTACCTGATTACTTTACAATACTTGCAATATAAAATGTCATTTAATTAAAATAAACCATTAACTCAAGTATTATTAATAATAAAAATATAGATAAAATATTTTTTGATTCAATTGCAATAAATGAGTCATAATGTGTGTAATATATTTATTAACTTACTTATCAATCATATAATGTTAACAAAATTATATATATATATAAACTAATGTACAAATATTTTCAAATATAATTTAAATTAAAAAAAATTATAGTTAAGAAATTAAAAAAACGTTATTGTGATATTTATTAAATTTACTAATTTGACTTAAACTAATTTATTGTTTTTTATTATTAAAAACTTATTACATGTAAGTATTATTTAATGTTTTAAAAATTATTCGTAAATATTTTACTAATATTAGAATTGTGTCTATTTTTTTAGAAATTCATTATGTTATTCATTATTATTTTTGTAACATTATTTCAATACGGTTTGATGTTTGCAAATTGTCCCGATATTGGCGATATTCAACCTTGCTCATGTGATAAGGATAGTAAAAATATTACATGCAAACTTAATAATGAGGAAATACCAGATTTGAAAGCCATGTTTGCTACCATTGACAGTAAAATAGTTGACGGGAATAAAAATTTTCCAAGTTTTTCACTAATCAATGTTAAATTACCTAAATTACCGGAAAAATTGTTTAGTGGTTTAAAATTTGATCAAGTTAATTTAGTTGGAATCACATTCACCGATAATACTAATCGAATTGATCCGAAAGTATTTGATGGACAACAAGATTCAGTAAAACAACTAAAATTAGTTTTGAATGATATAACAGTTGATGAAATTAAATCTGCGATTAATAATTTGCAATCATTGGAAACTTTGCACATATATGACGTCAAACAATTGAATTTACAAGAAAATACTTTCGAAAATTTACCAAAACTTACAAATGTTTACTTAGAAAATGTTGAAATTCAAACAATCAAAGAAAATGCTTTCAAAAGTTTAGATGCTTTACAACTGTTATCAATGCGCACCTGTAGTTTTAATAAAGTATCTGCCCGTGCATTTGCCCTGGGTCAAGCCAACCATGATACTACTATTGAATTTAATTTTAATAAGAAATTCAATGTACCAAATATTGATGACAAATGTTTTGACAAAATTGAACGATCGGTTACTATATTATATGAAAATCAATTAAGTGTTGTATCAAATACTCATCCTATTTTGGATGAAAACATTTTCACTACACTTTTAAAACAATCAAAAGAAAACAAAATTGTGGCCAAAATTGATTGTAATAATTGTGGAAAYATGTGGTTAATTAATGAACAGTGGAAATCACAAATTGATGGCACTGTCTGTACAGATGGTAATACTATCTATAAGTCATATTTGCGATTATGTGACCAAACAACTACTCCTAGTAATGCTTTTAATATAAAATCTAATAATTTGTTTGTTAGTATAATATTTGCTTTTAGTTTATTTTTCTATTTAAGTTTAATTCATTAATTGAATTAATTTTWATAATTTACTATAAATATTTGTAATATTCTATAAARRAATATATCTATATTTTGATATAATAATTATATTTTTCATTAATATATTAAGTTATTTATAAATAGTTAATAAAGTAATTTTATATTTACAATGTTGTACAGTATAACAATATTAAATATTAATATTACAAATATTTTTTTGAAATTTAAAATATATAAAAATTATAAATATTAAAATATTTTGTTTGTGATTTAATTTTTGTTGACAGTGTTACTGATATATTGATATAATGAATATTATTATAAATTTAAAAAATAAGAAATACTTATATCACGATATTTATGTCAATTTGTAAAATATAATAATCCTAATAATATAACTAAATTAGATTTTTAACATAACTGAAACATTATTTGTTATAATGATGATTCATTTACTTATAATAATATTTTAATGATAAAACAAAAATATATTAATTTATAATTTATGTAATATTATTGTGTAAATAACTTTATATAATTTTAATGTTGACACTAACTATATTTAATTTGATTTCATTGACAATGTAATTAATGTTTTAATTTTGACACCATTTAGTCATTTATAATAATAAATAAATTAATCTAAGATTACATGAATTTGTTTATAAATAACACAATTAAAAGCAATTTGATTTAAACAAACTAATTTTATTTATATACAGTAATATCAATATTATAAAATTATTTTATTATAATTTTTCTATTATATAAACACAATACGTAATAACATAAGGTGTTATTAAAGTATTAAGTTTTATGTAATTTAAGTTTTTAAATAAAATATTTATTATATTGTGTTATATAATTATAGTTGTAATAAAAATTCATCTTTAATGATAATAATATTTTATTGTTGATATTGTCATAAATAAATTTTTGTATGGTTTAGTTTCATAATTATGTAATTAATTAAATGTTTTCATGAAAAATTATCATAAAACTATCTCATTTAAAAAGACATTTTCAATTAAGTTTCATTTAATGTATACATTCAAAGACAAAACAATGAGGTAAAGGAAAACATTAAATTAAAAAAAAACTCATAAATCAATCTTGATTTTGATTTTTGCAATTTTTAGTCTAATAATTGCAATTATAAGAAACAATAAATATATTTTAAAATTTTTAAAAATTTTTATAATAAAAGATATTATAAATTAAAATTAATAAAAGTTTAATATTTTGAAATATGTATGAGATAATGGAATTGAGTTAATGTAAAATTATAGTATTTTTAGTCTAATTTCATGTGAATTTTAAAATATACTTGCAAAAAATAAGCTATTGAAAAAAATAATTTCATTATTAATAATATCATTTATAAAAATGAAGTCTTTAATTATTTTATAATTTTGTTAATAGAAATAAATTCTATATTTGTATTAAAACATTTTATCAATTTGTTTTATTTATATAGAATTTTAGATATTAATTAACCTATTTTTTATTTTTTGAAAAAATGTCTAGTTTTTCAATAATTTTATTTTTATGTTTAAAACTTTTATAAATATAAAAAATTTAATAATTGTGACTTAAATAGCAAGTTAGAATTTACAAAATTTAAAATTAACATTGATTAATTAGTTTTTAAGATATTCAATATTTTCTTGTATAATATATCATTGTAATGTCTAGTACTGTATACATTGTATATTTATAAATAAAATAATAATATTTTTATTAATAATAAAAAGAGTACAATTTTTATTATTTTATTGTTAAAAAGTTTTTACTCGCTACTATTATAACAATAGATTATTATTTAATATATTGTTTAAAGTTTATTTAAGTATAATAATTATGATTTTTTGTTTTAGAAAATTAGTAAATTTTAAATCTTAGTAAGTAAATAACAAAATTGTAAATAATTTATAACGGGACAAATATCATCAGCGTTCCTACCGTTACCAATAGCACATAACAAAGTCGATTTTGTTATGTGCGATATTAAACACATTTAAATTTATTAAAATTTATATTATATTTAATTATATTTGATATTATTGTCTAATTTCGTATTAATTATATGTTTATTAATATTATGTTTTGTTGTTTAAAATGCATTATAATTTATTATTAATTTTGTAAATAAGTTTAATTTAATTATTATTATGTTTAATAGCTGTAATAAGCAATACATGTAAATCATTAACTATCTCATTATATATTATCAATAAATGAGAAGCTCAGGCTAGCAATAGCTAGTCTAGGAGGGGCTTCCAGGCTCTCATAAACATTGACTACTTATTAATAGTAAACCTTAGGTGTAACGAAGTTTGGCCATAATTCTGTGAACGCAGACAAGCCATTCCTAGTTCCGATACAAGGACTTCCGATACTAAATACCGATATATAAGCGCAGTTACCAGTGACTAGAGCCCCGAATGGGCCATTCATATATACTGTGACGTAATAAATAAACCCTACAAATATACCGTAACTCATAAATAGTCTTCTAATAGCAACCCATTGATAAATTACGTCACAGTTCTCTATCAAATATACCCCGCATTGCTTATTGCTTCGTAAAGTTCTACTTTATGGGCATTTGACGGGTAAGCACTCATATATGCCCGTCACAAATTAAATATTCAAAATCATTTTAATAACTAATATAATGATTATTGTTATATTAATATATAATTGTATATGAAATTTAATTAATATTTATTTGTTTATTAATGAAATTTATTATTATAATCATAATAATTTTTCTAACAATATTTCAAAATGTTTTAATTACACGATGTCCTAGCTCAATTTCAGTTTGCATATGTTATCCAAAATCACCTAATATTATATGTCTTATAAAACAGGCCACTCTTCAATATAAAGTCAATACTCGATAAAATCAATGAATAATTAATTGATGATCAAAATAAAACATTTGAAAGTTTTTCATTAATAAATGTAAAATTATATGATTTACCCGAAAAATTCTTTAGAAAATTAAATTTTGAAGAAATCGATTTAATTGGACAAACATTACATAAAATGAATGATCAAATTCATCCAAAAAACATTTGACGGATAACAAGATTCACTCAAACCATTGAAATTTGTTTTGCAAGACATTACTAGTCATCAAATACTACTAACCATTGATGGCATAAAATCATTGGAAACGTTAAGAATATACGATTCAATGCAAATTAATTTACAAAACAAACCATAACAAAATTAAACCATTAATTACTTTACAAACTGATATCTATTTAGTTTCAATACAAGACTTTAGTTTAGAAAAGAGTTTAAATATTTAGACAAAACAACATTCACTACATTTCTAAGACAATCCAAATAAAACAAAATTGTGTCCAAAATTTATTGCTATAATTGAGAAGCGAAAATCAAAAACCACTTATAAACTCATGACTCTTATCATAATTAGTACTAATCCTTAAACAACTGAAAAACTTTCTTAATCTCTATCACTTGATTTCAAATATTTTTACAAATAGTTTAATTCAAAATTTATAACACATTTTCATTCATATTTTTAAAAAATTAATTAAAATTAACTACAAAATTTAATAAAAGTTTAATTAAAATTAATTAATTATTATATAAAATAGTTATTAACAAAATTTAAATATGATTCAATTTTTTTATTATGTTTTTGTATATTATGAATACTTCGTTTAATGTTAACAACATTAAGCATTTAAATAAAATAACTAATAGATAACAATTAGTTAATTTAATTGAAAATGAAAAACAAAAAAGAAATGAGAAAAAATAGGCGACAAAATCCAATTTGTCATAAAAAATGAAAATAAACTCAAACGTCAATCGGTAAGTGTTTAATAAAAACAAAATTAACTATAAATTATTTAATTTATTAACTAACTAATAAATAATACTAATTTATTTTATTTTTTAAGGAAAATAAATATATTGCAAGTAATGGAAAAGTAGTAGGAAAAATTAATTTCAAATTTATTGAAAAATGCTGCAAAAGATTAAAATGTTTTAAAAATTTAATGAAAATCAACAAAAAGAAATATTCAATAGGTAATGTATTATTATTATTTATTTATTAATTGCTATTTATTTATTTACTTCTATTATATATTTATTAATTATTATTATTTATTTATTTACTTTTATTATTTATTTATTAAATAATATTATTTATTTATTAATTATTTATTTATTAATTATCATTTATTTTTTATTATTAAAGGTTTTGGAATTTAATGGATTATGAAAAATAAAATTATATGTAAAGTAATGGTCAAAAAATACAGTAATAACCCAAACTCCCCACGAAATAATATTTGGATTTATTTAATTAAAAATGAGTATAATTATAAAATAACTATATTTAGATTTTATATTAAATTTATTAAATAATAAAATAAAGAATATTACAAAATAATAATAATTTAACTGATTTAAAAGGTACTCATAAAAACAAGAAAAAATAGATAAAAATATTTTTAATAACAATTTATTTCCTATTATACCCTCACATACTAAAAGTAAAAAATTATATTTTATAATAATGAGATCTTTAACAAAATTATATAATGTATATTTAGATTTCATAAAAACAAATAAAAAATAATTAGTAGAACTTTAGTTACTAACTTTTTCAAAAATAATTATAATATTAAATTTAAAAAACCTAAAACTGATCAGTGTGATGAATATATTAATAAATCTAAAAATAATAGTTTAATTACCGATGAAAATTATGAAAATCATAAATCATCAGATTTAAAATATAAGAATTTAAGATAGTTTTAAAATTTAATTATGGGCAAAATAAACCATTACCTTATTTAACAGTATCAGATGTTTTTTATAAGAGATGGTTTTTTTATATTTAATATACATATTTATAATTATAACTTATATTATATATAATATTGAAGGTAAATATCCTTAAATTGCTAATAGTTTTAGTTCTAATATTTATAGTTTTAAATATGTTACATAATAATTTTATTAAAGAGTATTTTTATCTGATAATACATGTGCACAAAATAAAAATTTGT